AGGGCATACTAAACATTAGCACCAGTAAAACGCCTTTTGGGCGAAGAACGAGCGAGCGAGATAGTGAGCCCTGCACGTGCGGAAGGGCGAGAGGGTGCTTCCAACGGGCTTGTGCAAAGCACCCTTCTAACCGGTCGCTAGCGGTGTGCCAAATTTGAACGCAATCGGCCCAGCCGTTCCTAAGATCTGGAAGCGGCATTCTGCACGTGCGCACGTGCAAACGGGGTCCAAAATGACTTTTGCACGGCACCCTACTAACTGGTCCCCAACCGTGTACCAAATTTGAGCGCAATCGGCCCAGCCGTTCTCGAGATCTGGAAACGCCCCCTGCACGTGCACACGTGCAGTAGCACCCTAACCGCAACACATGGGAATGCATTGCCTGGTGGGTGCCTACCTGTATGCCAAGTTTCAGCGAAATCGCCCCAGTAATTACCGAGTTACTGAAATGGGAACAAATTTGGCACCTCTTATTGTTGTATTTTGCACGTGCACTGGGGGTGACCCACATACATCGAGAGTATCCTATTTTGGGTAGAAGGGATGCTGCTACCCTACAAAAATTACCGCAAGTCAATCACCCAAGCGGCTGCTGAGATATGAGCCTCTCAAAATCACTACTTTTGCAAAACAGCTTGAACACCCTTGACTTTTCACGTGGCACGTGCCACCACAGTCACTGAGATGTATCAAAAGTAGTCAATTACGTGGTAGAAGGGATGGGGCTACCCAACAAAAAAGACCGCAGGCCAATCGGTCCAGCGGTTGCTGAGATATAAGCCTCTCAAAAGCGTTACAGGCCGGGCCGGGCCGGGCCGGGCCGGGCCGGGCCGGGCCGGGCCGGGCCGGGCCGGGCCGCTCATACTGAGATTTTTCCGTTATATTGAAAAGACTCACTTCGCTCGCTGCGCTCGCTCGCTCGTAATAATGGTCTGACTACATTAATAGTATCTATAAAAAGGTACACATTATTTTGGCAATGGATCTGTTAGGAGAACTCATTTTATCGAGAACCGATGCCCTCGCCTGAGCCAATCCATCCTCAATCGGGAATAAATGTCTTCAATATGCAATATGACGTGCACGTTTCCCGTTTGCCTTGCGGAGTAGTCTCCCGGCCAATTCCGGTCATTATAGGGCCGATGCCGTCTTACATGCGAAATAAAACAAAAAGTTACGCTGCCACGTGTGCGATGTATGCAATGTTTGTTGAGCAGTCCTGATAACACATACGCAGCGTTTTCAAGGAGTTGAGTCACTGTTTGTGGCCAATAATCGGTATAGGTACAGCGGGAACAGGTGTCGCAATGATCTGCCGCCGATAAAGGTGTGTTAACACGTCGCCGCTATCCGTCATTGTCGAGGGGCCAGGGCGGAAATGACGATGGCTCGGGGCTGATAGCCGATAGTGCTGCGGTGCCGGCACTGGGCGGCCTCTGAGACAGCAGCGTGGAGATCCCCTATACCCGCCCTGCGAGCGGCGCGCCCGTAAACACACGATCCGGCCGGGACAAAGCGCCGGTGCGTTCAATCAGTCGTCGGTGCTATTCTGGGAGGACGGCCGTCGGCCCCGGCCGCCAAACAGCGGCCCTGCACCGGCAGCTGCAGCTGTGTAGGCAGGGTCCGGGAGATTTTAATGCTTTCTTTGTTCAATCAAACATTTAGTCTGAAGTTGCGTGGTCCTTCCACAGAACATTTATCTGCTTTAATTAATTGCATATGTCAGTGGTTTCGCCGGTTTCTGTGTCCGCATTGATACGTCCCTAGGTCGCGTTTCCAACCGTTTATTCGCCGCTATTACCTATATAGTGTGTGTGTGTGTGTGTGTGTGTGTGTGTGTGTGTGTTTTTGTGTGTGTTTGGACTCTTATATGCCGGGCATAACTCCTAAGAAGGCGTTATATGCTCGTGTTAAGATGACACGAGACAAGAACTTTAATCTCCGGGTTGCCTACCGACCTTCCCCAGCCAATTAAAGGGACCCTCCCACCTTCAAAAAAGTTTATGAATTGGCATGAAAGTGATGTCGCTCGGTTTAGAAAGAGCGAAAACGAATATCTACCAAATTTCACCGAAAAATATTCACCGGTTTTCAAGATATTAGACTTTTACTTTTGTTTACTTTTTTTGGGGTCTCCGCTGTTTCTAGCGACTTTATTTTAGAAGTGCGGCGTTTGCGGCAGATGTTGCGCGCAAATAGCATATACCACCGCGTGCTACAAAACGTTTTAGTCAAACATTTAAAAATCGTTAGATATCTGCGCTGACGTCACACATTCAGAGGGGTATTCCTAAGCATTAGCCCCTCTGAATCAAAATGCTGCAATTTTGAAATTCAATATTTCTGATTTAAGGCATTTCTCGATGTTGTGAGTGCCGAAACCGGTAATTGTGAGCCAGGGACCCCATTTTGGCTATCTCAACTCAAATCTAATGTTAAGGTGGGAGGGTCCCTTTAAGTAGAGTGATGCATGCTTCACGGTTCGAGAATCCGTCTTATGATAATAGGACACACAAACATAGTGCACGGAACGCCAATATTAAACGGGATTAAATGCTGCTGGCCGAAGTTTTAAAGAGCATGCATGCAACGTCTCACGGTCCTCGTTCTTTTCTTTCTTCGATTTTCTTTGGTGTGATTTCATGCAGTGCAAGTCACGCTCGTAATTTGGCAAAGGCCAAACGCTAGGTTAGTACCTACCATACGAAGTAAACATCAGTCAGGCATCAATCATATGGGTAAAAGTAAACACCAGTCAGACGGTTGGCAGATAGATGCTGTTTCAGGTGCGCGAGGGAACACTGTTACAGGTAGCTCAGCTAGTGTGAATGGCAGTGCACTGCACAGAACGACCACGACAGCAGAAGCGCCCCTTCCCATTTCGGTACGTGACATGAGGGCCACATAGAGGTCGCAGTCCTGGCGGAGGTCCTATTAGGTAAGGGAGGTGCCACCTCCCTTATCAATTTTACGGTAAAATTGGATCTGGTTAACTGGTTACAGGATACTGGCTAAGATATGTATAAAGTATGGAAGCTGCTTTACTTGATAGATGCATAATGCATGTATGTATAATAATGCCTCTTTTATAGGTCTAAGGCTAAGAACTTTATTAGTTGCTTTGTGCAGGCCGTCTAACACGAAGAGCGGCGTCGCTCTGAATCTCCCGTCGGGAAATCGGTGTCTCCATGCGTTATCGCTCGCCGTGGCTCTCATTGAGCCGTGTTCAGTCTCTGACGTCACCCACCAGCTGATATCGCGCCTATGTGGTAAACCTGAGGTCGTCCCGTGCGTGTGTCTCAAGTGGTCGCGTCAGTATCGGCGAGCCGTGCTATCTGCCCTCCGCACAATCGCCACGGCTCGGAAACGCACCCGAGAGGAACGGATATGTAGCGACGCTGCAGCTACAGAAGCAGTAGCGGGGTGGCTACAGTAGCGGCAGCGGTGTGGCTACTGTAACGGTGGCGGACCCAGCGCCCCCCCCCCCTCCTCTCCGCCACCAAGGACGGGTGGAGGGAGGGAGCCGGTTATCCGTGAAACTACCGGGAGGGAGAGGGGTAGGAGGGAGAGGGGTGGGAGGGAGAGGAGCTGCCGGAGATGGGTGGGAGAGGAGCTGCCGGCAGGGACGGGCCGGGGTGCTGAGGCGCTGCTACAAGCCGGTAGTGCACACCGTAGCGCAGTGGTGGTAGTGTAGCACCTCCGTGCCGCTGGCTACAGACGCCGAGGTGGAGCCCCAGCCGACTCTATACCGTCCCTGGACAGTGGAACGATCGGCGCCGGGGCGGCCCGGACCGGCCGGCGGTACACGGCCCGGACCGGCCAGCGGTACACGGCCCGGACCGGCCGGCGGTACACGGCCCGGACCGGACCGGCCAGCGGTACACGGCCCGGACCGGCCGGCGGTACACGGCCCGGACCGGCCAGCGGTACACGGCCCGGACCTACCAGCGGTACACGGCCCGGACCGGACCGGCCAGCGGTACACGGCCCGGACCGGCCGGCGCGGCGGTACACGGCCCGGACCGGCCGGCGGTACACGGCCCGGACCCCGGTCACAGTGCCGCGTCTGCCGAGCAGGTGGCACCGTACCGTACGGTCCCAGCCACCGCGCCGAGCACACAGCTCTGCCCTGGAATACGGTCGATCGATAGAGTCCAGGCAGAGTCCATCGGGCCTATGGCAGTGTGGAACCTCGATTGTACCTTTTAACCTTTAAACAATTAAATCGATGCCGACGAGAAAAGTCTCCATCCCATACAACAACCGCGGCTTTTAATGAGCCGTCGGACACCTGCGACAGCTTTTCCCTCCGATAATCCGCCGGCCGATTGCCAGTTATGAGGCGGAGCGCATCGTGCCAGCCGCTTATCCCCTGCCGAACGTCATTAAACCGGGCGTGCCTGTCGCGTGTGACGTCATCCGGGGGTGACGTCACTAAACCGCCCATCGTGTCCGTGGGTTGGCCGGCTCACCAACTGCCTGCGGTTGACAATATCGGAACCAGTCACAGGACGGCCGCCCGGTTTGGTTGATAATGAAATTGACGTTTAAATTGCCTCAGGTGATAACGGTTACACTGCACGCTGGAACATAAGCATGCAACATATCCATTATCCAGCATATGATGACCGACGCTAAAGACAGTCAAGTGTCCCAGCCACCAGTTCGGGGTGTTGACTGTGTGTGATTACTCGCGCCGGGGTTCGGGAGCTCCACGTGGGTGGGATTTATGTGACAGGGCTGGGCCGCGTGCCCTGCAGTGCGGCCCGTACCGCTCAGCCCCGTGTGAGAGTCCTGTTAAAGGTGTCGGGAGGGTCCGCTGAACGGACGGTAAATCAGCAGCGCAGCCCCTTCCACCGCCCCCGCAGAGCGGTCCGGGTCGAGTGACGTCTCCGCTGCGTGTGGCCGAGCTATAACTTATAGTAGAGGACAGACGTTTGCAGACCGTTCGGTCGTTCCCGCTGTCCGGTCTTCTGACGGCTGTCTGCCCTGCTCCCCAGTCGTCGCAGTGGCGCAAGGTGAAGGGGGTGGTCCAGTGGACGCCGTTCGTCCAGACCTACAAGAAGCAGAAGTACCTGTGGGTTCAGCTCGCCGGCCACCAGGGTGAGTTCAGACTCGGTGCCTCTCCCTCTCGAGGGACCGTGTGTACCGTGAGCGCCCGGCACCTCCTGCTGGACTCGAGGGTCCCTCTGTATGTGCCGATGCGCCTGTCTTGCGATCTGAATGCCGGGAGCCAGCCCTCTGAATTCCATCCAGCCGCTCATCCGAATGGGCCACTCTGGCCACTTCCTCCCCTGTCCGTCTGTCGGCTCCACTCCCGACTCCTCTCCCTCCCCTGTCCGTCTGTCGGCTCCGCTCCCGACTCCTCTCCCTCCCCTGTCCGTCTGTCGGCTCCGCTCCGCTCCCGACTCCTCTCCCGTTCCGCCGCTCATCGGGATGGGCGGCATGTTCAGAGGACATCACGGAGCGATTGGCGCGGCCGTCTGTCTGTCGCTCCGACTGGACCGCCTCCCTCGCCGGCGCACGTCGGCACCTCCCTCCGCACTGGGTTAATTGCTAATTAATGAGCCCCGCGCATGCACGGCGGCGCGCGGGGCGGCGCCCTCCTGGAGGCGGCTGTCTGTGAAAGGTCGCGCTGAGGCTCCGACTGGCCGCAGGTAACTTCCGGGCCGGGAGGGACGGCACCATACAGAAGAGGCTCTGCGGCCGCGAGCAGCAGTGTCTCCAGGAGCTGATGGACGACAGCCTGCGGCCCTTCGTGCCAGAGTACCGCGGTCAGGTCAGTACCGATTACCGAGTACCGAGTACCACGGAAGGTCAGTACATAGTACCGAGTACCGAGGACAGGTCAGTACACAGTACCGAGTACCGAGTACCGCGGACAGGTCAGTAAGTGCCGAGTACCGCGGAGAGGTCAGTATAAAGGATATATATATATATGGCTTTGGTAGTTGGTACACAGTACAGAGCACCGCGGTCATCCCTCGCACCAGAGTACCGGGGACCAGTACCGACAATATGAGTACCGGGGACAGGCGAGGACCTGGTTCTGTGCGCCGCGGACAGAGTAGACCGAATACCCCGTCTCACGTAATGAGGGTCCTGCTCAGTCGCTCACTATACCTATCTGACCGGTCGCGGGCCGATTTGACCCCGGATGGTGAGAGCCGAGGTCTCCAGTCGGCTTTCGAAGTCCGGACGTCGGTCCACACATTTCTCAAACGGCCGAGGTCGGAGGGACAGCCGTCCACCCACCTGAGTTTGACACCTCGTTGAGATATGCTGAGAATAGAAGAATTGTGACCTACTCAGGGTATACGTTTGAAAAATTATGCGTCAGAACATGGAAAGGCATGGACAACATGTTCCTTTTGTAGACTGTTGGGGTTTGGATATTTCATATGCCAGATTTTACATCGACTTTGTCATTTTTTTCTTTAATCACCGAGTTATTCTTGATTTAACGTGGTAAGGAGAATTACTATTTAACATACTATAGAGCAGAATTTAGAATTATTCCAGCTGATTAATTTCGTACGAGTTCGTGGAGCGTTATGTTACGAGTAGTGTTTGCGTTGCAGACCGAGTCTGAAGACGGTCAGCAGTTTCTGCAGCTGCAGGACCTGCTGGCCGGCTTCGTGGAGCCCTGCGTCATGGACTGCAAGATCGGCGTTCGCACCTACCTCGAAGAGGAGCTGGCCAAGGCCAAAGTGAACCCCAAACTCAGGAAGGTGCGTGCATGGGGCAATCTGCTCCCTGTGAAAACCTTTTTTGTTACGGCACCTCTACATTTGCTTTGGTTGCCAAAGGTAGAGCTAGCGAACGACTCCAATGTCTTGGACTGAATTTGTCACAATCTTTGACAATCACATCTAAGGCTTGTTAGCCGTTTATGTGGTGCGGGAGTCCGATAAAGCTGTTGATCGGGCGGCTTCGTGCGTCATCAGTCCGAGTGCTCACGGTATGACGTCCGATGGGAGGGTTCTGACGTGTAGGTACCGGTTGCCGCTGATCAGGGCCTTCTGCTGTGTCCATTTGCGGTTGATTGGTGGCCGATCACTGCCATCTACCGTATTGTTGCCATATTTATAAAAGCCATTATGTCCATGCTTAACGTTCTTACGAATCATGCCCGTCGTTTAAGTACATGTCCTGAGAATGCACGTGAGGAGCGTCCCGCTTCAGATCGTCTGAGTGACTCCCGTTTCGATGCGTGTCCGTATTGCCAAGAGTCCCGTTTCAATACGCGTCTGTATTGAGAAGCGAGTCCAGTTTCGGGATAGGAACGTGTGTATTGAGCCGGCGACCTGACTCCTGTTCCAGGACATGTACGATAAGATGATGGCCGTCGACAAGACGGCTCCCACCGAAGAGGAACACAGGCTGAAGGCCGTCACAAAGCCCAGGTCAGTCCCACACACCGTCTCAATGCATGGGTCAGTGCCACAAAGCACAGGTCAGTTCCACGGTAAAACGCAATAGAATAATTTAGCGCTTTTTTGTCGAGATAGATCCATGACGCCATAATGTTAACACGCATTTATCGTGCATACCTATATCAGTTCCTCAAGCAGGGCTTATTCCTCAGGCGGTCCCCACTCCACCCCATTTTTCGGCACTGACTGCGGAGGACTGATCAGTGGAGAGGACCGCTGGTTATGGCTCGGCCCTGTCCGCCTGTATTGCGCTGTCGCTGTGCCGACCTCGACCCGGTGATAAAAATCACATCGTTTGTCGTTTTATGTAAAGCATGCCCATACCGATACGCGAAATATAGATAGAGGTTGTGTAACGGTTTTAGTCGGGATCGGCCTGTATGGTATCGTATTAGCCTCCCGACCCGCTCCTCCGCTGATAGGCTGTTCGTTCCACAGACCGGGACCGCAGTATTTTTCCGTCGGTTTTTACGCGTGCCGGCGGGGCAGAGACGCTGCCTCAGCAGCCTCGGGTGACCTCATGGGGCCCTGTGTAGGTACCGTGGGCCGCCGCCACAGCCCGCCGCCGCCCCTGCCGTGATATCATACGGAGCAGCCTATATACGGCCCGTAACGGCTCCTGTTGCAAGTGCAAATGGCTGTGTATGGGAACTTGTGAATACAAAATGCAGATTGAAAGGCGGTCGACTGCGGGTGCTGAGAACGGTGTCATGTCGGGTCAGCGGCTCTGTGGGAAGAAGGACGACATCACCGTCCCTACCGCAGGTACATGGTGTGGCGGGAGACCATATCGTCCACAGCCAGCCTCGGCTTCCGCATCGAGGGCATTCGGAAAAGCCGCGGCTACTCGAGCAAGGACTTCAAGACGACCCGGTCGGAGGGGCAGATCCGGGCGGCCATCGCCATGTTCACAGACGGCTACCCGAACGTGGTGGTACGTATACCGGCCCGCACATACCCCTGATGCGGGACACAGCTCAGGGAGGCGCAGTGGGGTTCCAATCTGTCCATACATAGCCCCGTTAGTAGCGTCCTGCTGACCTGGGCACCAGCGGCTGCCGCAGCCCGGGAGGACGGGACTCCGGGGCGGTGACATATAAGCCGGCTGGCTCCGTTCACCATTCACTGAGCCCGCCCGCGTTACAGACACAGTACCTGGCGAGACTGGATGAGATCCTGGCGACTCTGCACGGATCAGAGTTCTTCAGGAAACACGAGGTGCGTGCTCTGGGATCCCGTCAGGCTGAACAGGTCACTAGCCCGGTCCTACGGGGGACGGTGAACACCTATAGTTAGTGTTCTGGACCAGCATGACCATCAAAATGTTAGCCCCGGGATACATGCCTTCAATTACGGACAAGTTTGTCACGGTTGTCCTTATCGTGTGGTTGATGTAAACGTTCAGCGGAAAGTCACTTAACTTCTGCTCGTGATCTAAAACACAATGCAAGATCGATGCATCCACGGTCGACCCTGCTCTGACCCCATATCCCGCTGACCTGACCTCCAGTTCATCGGTTCGTCTCTGCTGTTCGTCCACGACGCCAACCGGGCCGGAGTGTGGCTCATTGACTTCGCCAAGACGACGCCGCTGCCGGCCGGCGCGCGCGTCAGCCACCGGGCGCCGTGGCGGCCCGGCAGCCACGAGGACGGCTACCTGACCGGCGCCGAGAACCTGCGCCGTATCCTGGCAGAGATGGCCGGCCGCGGCGCCGCGCCCTGACCCACCGCCGGGGTACCCATTGGCGGGGTACTGACCGCCGCGCTACTGACCGCCGGGGTACCCACTGCCGGGTATCCACTGCCAGTGGAGGACGGCGAGAGACCGCTGCAGCCGCGCACAGGAGGGCCGGGTGTTGCCGGGGCCGGTCCGCTGGGGAGGGTGGCGCCACCTGGTGCGGTCGACACTGGTAGCCAGGGACAGACCCTCGCAGGTGCCGCCCCGCCGGCTGCCGGAACAAAACAGACGGCTATCCGGCTGACCGCGAAAGAGACGATCGCAGTGCCTTATCGGTCGCAGAGACACGCTGAAATCACCTCACAGTGGCGTATAGTCGAGGACCTTGACGCACCGAACAAAAGTGACTCGATTGAAACTTGGATGCACCAAACAGCGGTCCCAGAGGGATGCGTTGTCGGGCTGGGTGAGAGTCCTGGACAACATCCATGTCGTGTGACTCCGTCTCTCCAAGACCGCGGCGTACACCATGTATCCGCGGTCAGTGTCCATTATTCGCGTGGTACCTATATTGTGACATGTGGCGTGCGTTTGTGGTGTGTCGGGGCACATGCCTCAGCGATTGCAATTGAATGACGCAATGTGCAAACATTAAGCATGTGGGGTTTTAGCTCAGCCATTGTTCAAGCTTCTGACATTCTAATTAGGCACCGTACTTCCAACTGATTAGCCGGTACGTAGTGCGCATGCCAGCGCTGTTCAGCTCTCTGTCGCGAGTTTGTGCAATTATTTTGAGTTCGAGTTATACTCGTCATGAACCCCGAGTATATACATTGAGTTTAATTTGCCGGGGTTGTATCTGCTGTGCCTTTGGGTGAAGTGCGACAAAAACGTGTTACCTCCACGACTGATGGCTAATTCGCCCCGTTACATTTAAGGTATATGTAGTATTTCGCTAAGTATGTGGCGTGAGTAAATCATTGGTTCGTCTCATGCATGAGCCTTTCCAAAACATCATGTGGGTTCTTAGTCTCCGAACTGTCTTAAATTAAAAGGAGGCAATACAAAGAAGAAGAAAAACTGCGCTTGCTGTAAAACTAGATTATGGAGGAAACCAAAGTTTCCCATGCTTTTGTTACAGGATAATGCCTGAAAACGGAAAAAATGGAAAAACACCGAATCAGCCACGCAACTGCCGACACTGGTCGTCCTGCTTCCATTGGTGTATTTCCAACTGTCACGGGGGGGGGGGGGGGCAGTCACGGGAAGGGCACCGTCACAGCGGGCCAGGACAGGGGGGTCAGGCCGCCAGCCACCACAGCCAGTCGTAGTCGCCAGTCTGGGGCCGCGCGGGGGCTGTCTGGGAGCTGTCACCGCCGGCCGCTGTCACTGTCACACCGGGACCGGCTGTCTCAGCTGTCACTGTCACACTGGGACTGTCAGCTGCCATTGCTGTCACCGACTCCGCTGCATCCAGCTTCTCCGCCGCCCCTCCACTCGCCTCCTCTGTGGAGTTCGACCTCGGGGCCTCTTCAGTACCGGTGAGGGTTGTGGCCACCCCAGTGCCGTTGGAGCCCTGTCCCTCTCCAGTGCCGTTGGAGTCCTGTCCCACCCCAGTGCCGTTGGAGTCCTGTCCCTCCCCGCCGTCCGCCGCCCGTGTGACGTTCATCTGCTGTTGTTTGTCGTGCGCCTGCTGAAGCAGCTGCTGTAGGCTGCCGGCCGTGTACACCAGACAGGAGCCGAGCACGAGCAGCGCCACGCCGCCCAGGTACAGCGACAGACGGTACTGCATGGCGGCCGGCGGCCCGGCGGGAGGACAGAGTGTGGACAGACCGATAGACGGACGGACGGACGGGCGGACGGACCGGAATGTAGACAGACCGACAGACCGATAGACGGGCGGGCGGACAGGTAGAGCGGAGCGTAGACGGGCCGATAGATGGACGGGCGGACAGGAGGGTAATCCGTTCGTTCGTTTAGACGGTGGCTCGTCGTTGGTTTGGACGGCCGGTGGATCAGTCGTTCGGTCGTCTGGCCGATCGGTTGGTGGGACCGGGACGTTGATCAGTGCCCTGTTGATACGAGTACGGACCGCAGTCGGCTCCAGCTGCCGGTGGGTGAGGTGCAGGGCCGGCGGGCCGCAGTCGGCTCCAGCCGGTGGGTGGGGTGCAGGGCCGGCGGGCCGATAGAGTCGGTGTACTCACACGGCGCTGCGCAGGTCCGGCTACACAGACGGGTCGGCAGCGGCTGCCGGCGTCACCCGTCCTCTCCACAGACTGAGACCTGGGAACGGACGGTGCAGCTTAGAAACGATACACGCTCACAGCAGATCAGATCAATATGCAAACAAGAATATAACGTGATGAGAATGGGACCGTATTAGAGCCGGGCCCGGCGATAATCACGGAACATTAGTGTCGGGGCAGACTGCGGCGGGGCAGACTGCGGCGGGGCAGACTGCGGCGACCCCTAGGAAGAACAACTATTGTCATTATTTCCTTTCCCATTAATATTAAAGTATTGCCTGATTATCTCGTCTAGTGCTGCCATCTGTCGAATGTTGTTCTCCCTAGTTGTTCTTCCTAGGGGTCGCCGCAGTCTGCCCAGCCGCAGTCTTCCCCGACACTAATGTTCCGTGATTATCGCCGGGCCCGGCTCTAATACGGTCCCATTAGTGTCATGCGGGGCAGCTGATGTAGATAGCGCAGGTGTAGTTACCTACCACCTACCTTGGTTGTTTTCTCTTTTGGCGGAAACACGGTCTCGACTTCCCCTCCTCGCTCGCCCAGGTGTCTGTGTCTGCCGATTCCTTCTTGCGTAGCTGAAAGACGCCAATGGTTGGTAGGTAACTACACCTGCGCTATCTACATCAGCTGCCCCGCATGACACTAATAATCAAAATCAGGACTTCAGTTCAAGGACTAACTAGTTCAATCTTGGGATAAGGGCGTACTTACGCGGGTCTGTCCGCCGAGTGCTCGTCAGTCAGTAGGCTGCCGCATCTGCTCCCAGCTGGGCCAGCACCGTCTTCCGCTGGGTCTGGATACAGGGCGGCCTGCTCCCTCCTCGATGGACAGCCGGTCCTGGACAGGGACCCGGAGGACACCACCCTCCCAGGGGGCGGCAGTCCAGTCCAGTCCGTCCTCAGCAGCACAGACAGCGTCCCCACAAACAGCGGTCCAACGGAACCCGCCGCCCGGCCGGAGTGCGCGGAGCGATGGCCGGTTCTGAGCCGACCCGACAGGGATGGGCGGTAGACCGGCCAGTTTTTGTACAGGTCACCAGGCACCACTAATACAGTTGTGGCTGTCAGTAGCAAAAAGGTAGCCGAAGGTCCCGTTTTCCCATCAGCAAGATCTGAACCTCACGAATGTCGCCTAGTAAATCGAAGTACCCACCATGGCTTTCTCGAGAGAAGAAGTTCTAGACAAGGTCTGGAAACCATGGCGATAAGCTTGTACACGCAATTTGCGAGGGAAACAGTATCGAACAATGATGATAGTGACATAATTATGTATATTTGAATATATCTTTGACGGTATCAATAAATATGTGCGAGACGCACTGCATCCAACACCATAAGTCACACAAAGCTAGAATACATAACAAGGGCGGCTCATCGCATCCATAACTGCCTCAAAGGTCCCTTCTCCGTGAACTACGCACGGCGTAATAATGCCCTCATCGCACGTCTTGCATGCCCCGCTGGCCGACCAATGGTGCCCGTCTGTCAGTCAACCGTCTATGATCAGCCGGCGGCGGTCAACAGTCTGTCTGTGGTCCGTCTACATATGGTCTATCCATGACCCCATCCATGATCTGTCAGTCTGTGCCTGTCAGTGTATTGTCCGTCAGTTAACGATCCGCAGGTCTATGGTCAGTCCATGGTCCGTCCGTCTATGGTCCGTCCGTCCATGGTCCGTCCGTCTATGGTCCGTCCGTCTATGGTCCGTCCGTCCATGGTCCGTCCGTCTATGGTCCGTCCGTTCATGGTCCGTCCGTCTATGGTCCGTCCGTTCATGGTCCGTCCGTCTATGGTCCGTCCGTCTATGGTCCGTCCGTCTATGGTCCGTCCGTCCATGGTCCGTCCGTCTATGGTCCGTCCGTCTGGGAGCCGTCCGTCCATGGTCCGTCCGTCTATGGTCCGTCCGTCCATGGTCCGTCCGTCTATGGTCCGTCCGTCTATGGTCCGTCCGTCTATGGTCCGTCCGCCTGGGAGCCGTCCGTCTATGGTTCGTCCGTCCATGGTCCGTCCATGGTCCGTCCGTCTATGGTCCGTCCGTCTATGGTCCGTCCGTCTATGGTCCGTCCGTCTATGGTCTGTCCGTTCATGGTCCGTCCGTTCATGGTCCGTCCGTTCATGGTCCGTCCGTCTGGGAGCCGTCGGCGGCGGCCACCAGGGCCAGCAGGGCGCGGTACTCGTCCAGCCGGTCGGCGGCCAGTCCCAGCGCCGTCAGCTGGCCGCCCAGCCCCGCCACGTCCAGCGCCAGCTGCCGTCGGATCTTGTCGTCATCGGTGCCGCCGGCCGGCGCCGCCGCCGCGCCCGGCCGCGACTTCTTCAGCTTGCGGAGCGACTCCTCCATCTTCTGGACGGAGGTGAGCACCTGGGCCACCTTGTCCCCGTACCTGCCGGCGGCCGCACACCGCCGTGTTACCGGTAAATAGAGGACCGGTGGCGGGGGGCTAATCAGGATGGACGGTGAACTTCAATGATGTTCGATAATGGAGAGTTGTCAATATCATACAAAATTCAATGCTCATTGCTCATTGCAAAAAAAAGAAGAAGGTTCGATCCACTCACAGCGTACAGAGCTGGGTGGCCACGCCGGTGAGGTGGCCGGCGGTGACGGGCCCGTCCAGGCCGGCGCAGACCGTGTCGGCGAACTGTCGCAGCGGCGCCACCATCGCCGCCACGTAGGCGGAGGCGGCCGCCGGCGGGTCACGGTTGGTTCGGCGGTACAGCCGCGGGATCTCCAGCACGGCGCGCATCGGCTCGGCGGCGGCCGCCACAAGCCGCTCCGTCAGCAGCGAGCGGAGCCGGGCGGGCAGCGGCGCCAGCCGGGCCCGGCCCGTGGCCAGACTGGCTGCGTGAGAGGAGAGGAGGTACACAGTTACACAGGGGTACGCAGCAATCAACCGCGCCCGGCCCGTGGCCAGACTCGCTGTCAGATCAGGAGGGAGGGGAAGAAGGGAGCGAGGGTGCCTAGTTATATAGTCAGTGTCCGGACTCGCTGTGTGAGGGGAGCGGAGGGCTATTCAATATAAAGTTATACCATTGGGAGTGTGTGCCGGGTATGATGGCGGAAGGGTGCGGTCGCTGAGTTCCTGGGATCGCCGCTCGGGATCAGGACCACCGCTGCCCTCTACTGACTCGCTCTGAGAGTCTGGAACCACCCCCAGTGATCCGGGGCTGCCGCTGCCGTACCTCTGAGCGAGTGGGCGGCCTCGTCGGGCAGCCCCGGCAGCGCGGGCAGCACGGTCTCCTCCAGGAACGAGTCCAGTCTGCGCTCGAGCTCGGCCAGCTCCGCCAGGTGGCGCACACACTCCTCCAGGGACACCTCGCCCGACCGCCGCTCCTGGAAACGGAGCCAGCAGTGAGACGCGCCGCCGCGACCAGTTTGTGCCCGGACCGTACCACGGCCCTGTCCCGGCCTATAGTCCGTACCCAAGGCCCTATACAGAGTCCGTACCTAGACCCTGTCTGTCAGACAGAGACGGTTAACCGGTCCACTTCCCCGACTCATACTATCCCTGTCCCTGGTTTGCACGGCAGTCGTCACTCTGCCCCTCGTACTCGTACCTGGACCCCATCCGTCTGACGCGTACCCTCCGTCTGACCCGTCCCGTCTGCCCGGACCTCTATCCCAGCCGGTACCTGTCCCCGTCCCCTGTCTGACCCGTACCTCTATCCCTGGCCGGTACCTGTCCCCGTCCCGTCTGACCGTACCTCTGCCCGGACCTCTATCCCTGGCCGGTACCTGTCCCCGTCCCCTGTCTGCCCGGACCTCTGCCCGGACCTCTATGCCTGGCCGGTGCCTGTCCCCGTCCCCTGTCTGACCCGGACCTCTATCCCTCGCCGGTACCTGTCCCCGTCCCGTCTGACCCCTACCTCTGCGGCCAGCCTGTCCGTCAGCCAGGTGGCGTATCGGGAGACGATCTGCAGGCTCAGCTGCCAGAACCGGTGGGTCAGCGGCCGCAGGAACACCCCCGAGCTCCAGCAGCGCTGCAGCGCTAACCAGACGGCCGGCCCGGCGGCGCCGGAGGCCAGCGCCGCCTCCAGCGCGCCGCCGGTCTCCTGCAGTCTGAACCAGGGGGATGGGTCAGAGCGGTCTCCTGCAGTCTGAACCAGGGGAGGGGTCAGAGCGGTCTCCTGCAGTCTGAACCAGGGGGAGGGGGGTCAGAGCGGTCTCCTGCAGTCTGAACCAGGGGGGAGGGGTCAGAGCGGTCTCCTGCAGTCAGTGAACCATGGGGAGGGGGGTCAGAGCGGTCTCCTGCAGTCTGAACCAGGGGGGAGGGGTCAGAGCGGTCTCCTGCAGTCAGTGAACCATAAGGAGGGGGGTCAGAGCGGTCTCCTGCAGTCAGTGAACCAGGTCAGTGAACCAGGGGGGAGGGGTCAGAGCGGTCTCCTGCAGTCCGAACCAGGTGGAGGGGTCAGAGCGGTCTCCTGCAGTCAGTGAACCATAAGGAGGGGGGTCAGAGCGGTCTCCTGCAGTCAGTGAACCAGGTCAGTGAACCAGGGGGGAGGGGTCAGAGCGGTCTCCTGCAGTCTGAACCAGGGGGAGGGGTCAGAGCGGTCTCCTGCAGTCTGAACCAGGGGGAGGGGTCAGAGCGGTCTCCTGCAGTCAGTGAACCATGGGGAGGGGGTCAGAGCGGTCTCCTGCAGTCTGAACCAGGGGGGAGGGGTCAGAGCGGTCTCCTGCAGTCAGTGAACCATAAGGAGGGGGGTCAGAGCGGTCTCCTGCAGTCAGTGAACCAGGTCAGTGAACCAGGGGGGAGGGGTCAGAGCGGTCTCCTGCAGTCCGAACCAGGTGGAGGGGTCAGAGCGGTCTCCTGCAGTCTGAACCAGGGGGGACGGGGTCAGAGCGGTCTCCTGCAGTCTGAACCAGGGGGAGGGGTCAGAGCAGTCTCCTGCAGTCAGTGAACCATGGGGAGGGGGTCAGAGCGGTCTCCTGCAGTCTGAACCAGGGGGGAGGGATCAGAGCGGTCTCCTGCAGTCGGTGAACCAGGTCAGTGAACCAGGGGGACGGAGTCAGAGCGGTCTCCTGCAGTCTGAACCAGGGGGGGGGGAGGGGTCAGAGCGGTCTCCTGCAGTCAGTGAACCATGGGGAGGGGGGTCAGAGCGGTCTCCTGCAATCAGTGAACCAGGTCAGTGAACCAGGGGGAGGGGTCAGAGCGGTCTCCTGCAGTCTGAACCAGGGGGAGGGGTCAGAGCGGTCTCCTGCAGTCAGTGAACCAGGTCAGTGAACCAGGGGAGGGGTCAGAGCGGTCTCCTGCAGTCAGTGAACCAGGGGAGGGGTCAGAGCGGTCTCCTGCAGTCAGTGAACCACGGGGAGGGGTCAGAGCGGTCTCCTGCAGTCAGTGAACCACGGGGGAGGGGGACGGGGTCAGAGCGGTCTCCTGCAGTCTGAACCAGGGGGGAGGGGTCAGAGCGGTCTCCTGCAGTCTGAACCAGGGGGAGGGGTCAGAGCAGTCTCCTGCAGTCAGTGAACCATGGGGAGGGGGTCAGAGCGGTCTCCTGCAGTCTGAACCAGGGGGGAGGGATCAGAGCGGTCTCCTGCAGTCGGTGAACCAGGTCAGTGAACCAGGGGGACGGAGTCAGAGCGGTCTCCTGCAGTCTGAACCAGGGGGGGGGGAGGGGTCAGAGCGGTCTCCTGCAGTCAGTGAACCATGGGGAGGGGGGTCAGAGCGGTCTCCTGCAATCAGTGAACCAGGTCAGTGAACCAGGGGGAGGGGTCAGAGCGGTCTCCTGCAGTCTGAACCAGGGGGAGGGGTCAGAGCGGTCTCCTGCAGTCAGTGAACCAGGTCAGTGAACCAGGGGAGGGGTCAGAGCGGTCTCCTGCAGTCAGTGAACCACGGGGAGGGGTCAGAGCGGTCTCCTGCAGTCAGTGAACCACGGGGGAGGGGGACGGGGTCAGAGCGGTCTCCTGCAGTCTGAACCAGGGGGGAGGGGTCAGAGCGGTCTCCTGCAGTCTGAACCAGGGGGAGGAGTCAGAGCGGTCTCCTGCAGTCAGTGAACCAGGGGGACGGAGTCAGAGCGGTCTCCTGCAGTCTGAACCACGGGGATGGGTCAGAGCGGTCTCCTGCAGTCTGAACCAGGGGGGATGGGGGAGGGGTCAGAGCGGTCTCCTGCAGTCAGTGAACCAGGGGGGACGGGGGAGGGGTCAGAACAGTTACCATATCACGGAAAGTCGGCAACTACGATCAGTCAGACCCAGAGTATATCATCAAAGCGACAGTGTCACGTCTCATACACCTACCCAGCCACGAGTTAATTGTTCAGCGCTCTCACTATCCGCACTAAACTGTTGGGGAATGGGACGGATCAGCTCCCCTGAAGCTGGCCGCCTGTTCCCCGATCTCTCCCCGCCACTCGGGGCTCCCGGCTCACCGGATCTGGTAGTAGACGGGCAGGTTCCACTTTTTCATGAAGCTGTCGTAGGCCTCGTGAGCGCGCAGTCTCTCAACACTGGACATGGTGCCGCAGGCGCGCTCAAAGCGCTCCACAAACTCCATACTGGCCGTGTAGCGCTGCGGGAAACAGGGGACGTGTTACTACACCGGACACTACTGGGCGGCACTACTGGCCGTGTAACGCTGCGGGAAACAGGGACAGGGGACGTGTTACTACACCGGACACTACTGGACGGCACTACTGGCCGTGTACGCTGCCGGGACACAGAGGACGTGTTACTACACCGGACACTACTGGACGGCACTACTGGCCGTGTACGCTGCCGGGACACAGGGGACGTGTTACTACACCGGACACTACTGGACGGCACTACTGGCCGTGTACGCTGCCGGGACACAGGGGACGTGTTACTAAGCCGGACACTATTGGACGGCACTACTGGCCGTGTACGCTGCCGGGACACAGGGGACGTGTTACTAAGCCGGACACTATTGGACGGCACTACTGGCCGTGTACGCTGCCGGGACACAGGGGACGTGTTACTACACCGGACACTACTGGACGGCACTACTGGCCGTGTACGCTGCCGGGACACAGGGGACGTGTTACTACACCGGACACTACTGGACGGCACTACTGGCCGTGTACGCTGCCGGGACACAGGGGACGTGCTACTACACCGGACACTACTGGACGGCACTACTGGCCGTGTACGCTGCCGGGACACAGGGGACGTGTTACTACACCAGACACTACTGGACGGCACTACTGGCCGTGCACGCTGCCGGGACACAGGGGACGTGTTACTACACCGGACACTACTGGACGGCACTACTGGCCGTGCACGCTGCCGGGACACAGGGGGCGTGTTACTACACCGGACACTACTGGACGGCACTACTGGCCGTGTACGCTGCCGGGACACAGGGGGCGTGTTACTACACCGGACACTACTGGACGGCACTACTGGCCGTGTACGCTGCCGGGACACAGGGGGCGTGTTACTACACCGGACACTACTGGACGGCACTACTGGCCGTGTACGCTGCCGGGACACAGGGGACGTGTTACTAAGCCGGACACTATTGGACGGCACTACTGGCCGTGTACGCTGCCGGGACACAGGGGACGTGTTACTACACCGGACACTACTGGACGGCACTACTGGCCGTGTACGCTGCCGGGACACAGGGGACGTGTTACTACACCGGACACTCCTGGACGGCACTACTGGCCGTGTACGCTGCCGGGACACAGGGGACGTGTTACTACACCGGACACTACTGGACGGCACTACTGGCCGTGCACGCTGCCGGGACACAGGGGACGTGTTACTACACCGGACACTACTGGACGGCACTACTGGCCGTGCACGCTGCCGGGACACAGGGGGCGTGTTACTACACCGGACACTACTGGACGGCACTACTGGCCGTGTACGCTGCCGGGACACAGGGGACGTGTTACTACACCGGACACTACTGGACGGCACTACTGGCCGTGTACGCTGCCGGGACACAGGGGACGTGTTACTACACCGGACACTACTGGACGGCACTACTGGCCGTGCACGCTGCCGGGACACAGGGGACGTGTTACTACACCGGACACTACTGGACGGCACTACTGGCCGTGCACGCTGCCGGGACACAGGGGACGTGTTACTACACCGGACACTACTGGACGGCACTACTGGCCGTGTACGCTGCCGGGACACAGGGGACGTGTTACTACACCGGACACTACTGGACGGCACTACTGGCCGTGTACGCTGCCGGGACACAGGGGACTTGTTACTACACCGGACACTACTGGACGGCACTACTGGCCGTGTACGCTGCCGGGACACAGGGGACGTGTTACTACACCGGACACTACTGGACGGCACTACTGGCCGTGTACGCTGCCGGGACACAGGGGGCGTGTTACTACACCGGACACTACTGGACGGCACTACTGGCCGTGTACGCTGCCGGGACACAGGGGACGTGTTACTACACCGGACACTACTGGACGGCACTACTGGCCGTGTACGCTGCCGGGACACAGGGGACGTGTTACTACACCGGACACTACTGGACGGCACTACTGGCCGTGTACGCTGCCGGGACACAGGGGACGTGTTACTACACCGGACATTACTGGACGGCACTACTGGCCGTGTACGCTGCCGGGACACAGGGGACGTGTTACTACACCGGACACTACTGGACGGCACTACTGGCCGTGTACGCTGCCGGGACACAGGGGACGTGTTACTACACCGGACACTACTGGACGGCACTACTGGCCGTGTACGCTGCCGGGACACAGGGGACGTGTTACTACACCGGACATTACTGGACGGCACTACTGGCCGTGTACGCTGCCGGGACACAGGGGACGTGTTACTACACCGGACATTACTGGACGGCACTACTGGCCGTGTACGCTGCCGGGACACAGGGGACGTGTTACTACACCGTACACTACTGGACGGCACTACTGGCCGTGTACGCTGCCGGGACACAGGGGATGTGTTACTACACCGGACACTACTGGACGGCACTACTGGCCGTGTACGCTGCCGGGACACAGGGGACGTGTTACTACACCGGATACTACTGGACGGCACTACTGGCCGTGCACGCTGCCGGGACACAGAGGACGTGTTACTACACCGTACACTACTGGACGGCACTACTGGCCGTGTACGCTGCCGGGACACAGGGGACGTGTTACTACACCGGACACTATTGGACGGCACTACTGGCCGTGTACGCTGCCGGGACACAGGGGACGTGTTACTACACCGGATAGGCGGACACTATTAATGTCTGCTGTTGGGAGTTTATAATCTATGCCGCTAATACGCATAGCCGTGTGCCAGGGCAGCGGCCTGACCTCACACAGAGCCGACTGCCGGACCTGTCTCACCTCATAGAGCGTGTTTGGGTTTCCCGGCGCGAAAATGGCCGGCAGCTGCTGCTCCAGTTTCTCCACGATGCAGGGCCACACGGCGTTCACCAGAAAGTCGTACCGGGGCGCCGTGTGGGCCCTGCGGGTAGAGAGGACCGGGAGCGACGGTCAACCATCGGAGCAGGGATCGTAACGGAGGCGCGGGTACATCGCATATCACGGCACCGGCCCAGCAGCCCCCGCCGTCCCGCTCCCCCTCTCACCCGTGCTCGCGCCGAGTGACGGACACCAGCAGGCCGGCCCGCTCCGAGACGAAGCGCAGCACGTTGTCAAAGAGACCGCGCAGGCCGCGAGGGCTGTCCCGCAGCGCCGCCGGGCTGATGGCCTCCTCCATGTAGGGCTCCACCACCCGGTCCCGGAACAGGGCCTCCGCTACTGACACCTGGTGGAGAGAGCAGAAACTACAGGTTAGAACGGAACAGGGCCTCCGCTACTGCCGCCTGGTGGAGAGAGCAGAAACTACAGGTGAGAACGGAACAGGGCCTCCGCTACTGCCGCCTGGTGGAGAGAGCAGAAACTACAGGTGAGAACGGAACAGGGCCTCCGCTACTGCCGCCTGGTGGAGAGAGCAGAAACTACAGATGAGAACGGAACAGAACCTCTATCGTTAACGTCTGGCGGTCAGAGCGCCGGCTAGAACACACCGAGAATTGAAGAGAAGCTGCCACAGCGCCCCACCTAGTCCAGAGCAGTAGCTGCCCCCCCCCCCCATACCCACCTGGTCGAGGGTTGCGAACACTCGCAGCACGTGCGTCAGCCGCTCCGAGTCACGCCGCTCCAGACCGGCCAGGAGCGCGGCGCGCAGCCGCTCCTGCAGCCGGCCGGCCAGCGCGTCCACGCGGGGCCGCAGCCGGCCCACCAGCGCCGCGCGCTCGCCGCAGTGGCCCAGCGCGTACGTCAGCTGGTTGTACTCGGAGGCGGCCCGCTCCAGGGTGTCGCCGTCCTGTCAGAGGGGCGGGGGGGGGGGGAGTGAGGAACCGATCGCTCACACATGGCCGTAAAAACGCGGCCTGATAGAGGTCACTCAGGTCGAGCGGTCAGCGGGAACACAGCTGAACACTGGGCCGCTGTGGTAAGTCCGAGCGGCGCCGACTGCCAGCCTATTGGTGCGGTGGATCCATCAAGCCCGACTGAGGAATGGCTGCTAAATTTGTGTCACCGAGCCAATTGACATCATCATCCATTCCTTAGGTCCATTGGTACGGTGACTCTCAATTTACCATCCCTTCCTTAGTCGGACTTGATGAATCCACCGCACCGAAGCGCGTTTCTTTCCCGACTGACTGTTGAGCCGCGGTCGGCGGTCGCTCACCGGGTCGCAGCTCTCCGGATCGTCAGCGGAGGCCAGCAGCGCCTCCAGCCGGTCCAGGTAGCCCGGCAGAGAGCCCAGCAGCCGCAGGTACTGCTTCTGGGCGCGCACCTCGTGCAGCCGCGCCATCCGGCCGCCCGTCTGCTCCAGCAGCTCGTCAAACGAGCGGCGCACGCTCTGCCGCCGGTCAGACGGATCATGGACACCGGTCAGACGGACACCGGTCAGACGGACACCGGTCAGACGGACACCGGTCAGATAGACACCGGTCAGACGGGAGTACGGGACACGGGCACCGGTCAGACGGACACCGGTCAGACGGACACCGGTCAGATGGACACCGGTCAGACGGACACCGGTCAGACGGACACCGGTCAGATGGACACCGGCCAGATGGACACCGGCCAGACGGACACCGGACACCGGTCAGACGGACACCGGTCAGACGGACACCGGTCAGACGGACACCGGTCAGACGGACACCGGTCAGATGGACACCGGTCAGATAGACACCGGTCAGACGGGAGTACGGGACACGGGCACCGGTCAGATGGACATCGGTCAGATGGACACCGGTCAGATAAACACCGGTCAGACGCACACCGGTCAGACGGACACCGGCCAGATGGACACCGGCCAGACGGACACCGGCCAGACGGACACCGGTCAGACGGACACCGGTCACCGGTCAGAAGGGACACGGACACCGGTCAGAAGGGACACGTCACACGCGGGACCCACATGATTCGGAACAATAATGGCTTTCAGACAGCACGGAACCTCCCCGTCATATGACCGGTTCGTCGCTCATAACCAGAGGAGCACCAACAAATGGGTCGTACTCGTATAGGCAACTAATACACAGTGACAGTAACGGGGCACTGGTCAGTAAGGGGCGCTCGGCGGACGGTACTGGTCAGTGAGGGACGCTCGGCGGACAGTATCGGACAGTGAGGGGCGCTCGGCGGACGGTATCGGTCAGTGAGCGGCGCTCGGTGGACAATATCGGACGGTGAGGGGCGCTCGGCGGACAGTATCGGACAGTGAGGGGTGCTCGGCGGACGGTATCGGACAGTGAGGGGCGCTCGGCGGACGGTATCGGACAGTGAGGGGCGCTCGGTGGACAGTATCGGACAGTGAGGGGCGCTCGGCGGACGGTACCGGACAGTGAGGGGCGCTCGGCGGACAGTATTGGACGGTGAGGGGCGCTCGGCGGACGGTATTGGACGGTGAGGGGCGCTCGGCGGACGGTATTGGACAGTGAGGGACGCTCGGCGGACAGTATTGGACGGTGAGGGGCGCTCGGCGGACGGTATTGGACGGTGAGGGGCGCTCAGCGGACGGTATCGGACAGTGAGGGGCGCTCGGCGGACGGTATTGGACGGTGAGGGGCGCTCGGCGGACGGTATCGGTCAGTGAGGGGCGCTCGGTGGACAGTATCGGACAGTGAGGGACGCTCGGCGGACGGTATCGGACAGTGAGGGGCGCTCGGCGGACGGTATCGGACAGTGAGGGGCGCTCGGCGGACAGTATCGGACAGTGAGGGGCGCTCGGTGGACAATACTGGACAGTGAGGGACGCTCGGCGGACGGTATCGGACAGTGAGGGGCGCTCGGTGGACAGTACCGGACAGTGAGGGGCGCTCGGCGGACGGTATTGGACGGTGAGGGGCGCCCGGCGGACGGTATCGGACAGTGAGGGACGCTCGGCGGACGGTATCGGACAGTGAGGGGCGCTCGGCGGACGGTATCGGACAGTGAGGGGCGCTCGGCGGACAGTATTGGACAGTGAGGGGCGCTCGGCGGACGGTATCGGACGGTGAGGGACGCTCGGCGGACGGTCGGGAGCGTCTCACCAGAACCTCCTCCTTGAGCTGGCCCAGCGGCATCTCCAGCTTGCTGATGCTAGCGTCGAGCCCGACCAGGTTTGAGGAGAGGTTGACGAAGTCGGCGTAGTCCCTGTTGATGAGGTCGATCATGGAGGAGCGCAGCACCTTGAGGTACATGCCCAGGTCGGTGCGCAGGCTCTCCAGTCCGGCCTGCTGGCGGTACCGCAGTACGAATCCGTCCACGCTGAACTCATCCTGCCGGAGAGCGCCGCCAGACACTCAGCTCACTAAAGGACAGTGCAATTTAGCGACAGCACAGCGACGGACTGAGTGGAGGATATCGCAGCTCACTGACGGGAAAACGGAACTAGTGACCGAACACCAAACTTGGTAAAGGACAACGGAACATACTCGCCAAAAACGAAACTTACCGACGAAAAACGGAAATTAGAGACAGAAAATGGAACTTACTGACAGAAAACAAAATTTTATAGAAACTGGAATTTAATAACGGCAAACAGGGCTTACTGACAGCACATGGAACTCAATGATGGCAAACAGAAATTACTGATGGAAAATCATACTTGCTGGTAGAAACTCAGGTTTTGCCTTGTGGTACATTTACCTTTGACAGCAAAGGTGCAATGACAACAAAGAAGCATTGATGGCAAAGGTGCAAAACAGCGATTTTAGATGTAGGCATTCTATTAACTGATCATGCCTTGATCATGCCAGTTCTTTAACCCTATTCAGTCCTGAATAATCAATGTATGCTATCAAGATGCTACAAATAATCTCAATATCATGTTAGGTCATCATGTCATGTCAACATGTCATTCATGATGAGTGAACTTGACTCATTAGCCCAAAAGGTACCTACTTGCCCTTACTAGGGCAACTAAATGGCTGCTTTTAACTTTTTAGGATGTTGATATATAAGAAGATATATGCAAAACATGTTTCTTAAAATGTTTTAAGTCATGCACTTAAAGGAAATAGTTCACTTTCCTGAAATTAGTATTTTGCTATGGATTTATGTTTTTTTATGCTCAAAATGATCAGAAAATAAAACAAAACGTTTTTGTAAAAAGGATTATTTTCTATATTTTAGTATAAGAAGAACTATATTCTATATAAAATAATGTTTGACGCGGAAGCTTATTACGCGTTGACCAATCATATTGCGTAGGACAAACCCATCGGCTGTAAGCAGCATTCTGATTGGCTGACGATGACGTGACTGCATTCCTCAGCAAGGCACGCATTCCTCTGCAAGGCACTCTTTTCGGAACGAAAAATGGAATATCTTCGTCTAGGGTGATCGTTGGGCCGTAAAAGCTTCTGATTTGTGCTAGTCTCAGCGCAAGCAACAAAACTGCTATTCCAGTTCCAAACCCCATGTTAAAAGTGAACTATTTCCTTTAAAGGGCTTCAAGACTGCCCCCACTAAGTGGCAATTACTTATGACAATTCAATAACATATTTTGTATTGAACATTAAACAACTGATAGGTACCTTCTCTTCGATCAACTTAATATTATTTCCTTCCATCAGATTTCACTTATTCTTTAGTAGTTCAAGTTACTCTTATTTGTTGTCTGTTAAAGGGACTATCCAACCTTCTAAAATGTTGTTAAAACCAGTTAAATTGTGCCCGACTTTATAGATTAGATGACCAGGAACACGGTTCTGGCATTTATTTTTCATTAAACATCTTAGGCTTCCCATATTCCAAACACAAACTTTCAAATATGTGACGTCACAGCCCAAAATTACCTCCTTCCCCAGGCCACATTACTGTCATAAAGCTGATTCTTTTTACTCTGTAGGCACCACAACAAAGTTCAGACCAAGTTTTAAGCGATTTTTCAACGAACAAACCCATTTAAATCAGAATGACTAAACGAACGGTCGCTCCATGTTGAAGATAGGGCCTTGTACAAGGCCCATTTTCAAATGAAGGGAACAAATTTCTTCAACACCAAGAGGCCGCGGGGGTTGCAACCTAGATAGATAGTGGTTTCTGAACCTCGCCGCAAACTTGGCTATCTCAACTCAAACCCCATGTTAAAGGTGGGATAGTCCCTTTAAGTCATTTCTAACCAAAGGGTGTTATGAATTGCAGTGCCTCAGTAACAATTAGGCTTAGGTAGGAACTTCAAAAACAATTAAAATAGGCAGATACCCACTCATTTGCCCAAATAAGAATGCCTACAAATCCATGATTTTGATTTGAAGCTGAGTAGCTATTCATTCTTTAGTTTACACATACCTTGAAGAATTCTTCCTTGTTGAAGCAGAGTTGTGATGATTCAAAACCAACTATTTCTTTCATGTTCAGTAAAGCCAATAACCTGAAACAGGACATTTTTATTTGTAAAATCCAACTACTAGTAGTTGGCCCGACTGGCGTACATGGCATACACAAGGTAGGTCTACATAAAACTCTAGCATAAATTAAATTAGGAATGATAAATGTACAGGTCTCGCGGGTTTTAGCGGTAGGTTTTGCACCTGGAAAATTTAGTGTACTTCAGGCTATATCTTCGTCGTCTTAAAGCCAAAACTTTTTAAGTGTTGAAGATGCGATTGACTTGTTCGGTTCACAAGCCGGCCATGATCGTGTAAAATGGCTTCATCGTAGATCGATTAGTTTCTGAGATATAACCGGAAATGTAAAAGTGCAAAACCTACCGCTTAATTTCGCGAGAGCCGTACCAACGAATCGAGTTTATGGCTTATGCAGTGGAGCGGATTCAGTGTTTGTGTTTACCCAAGGCGCATCAGCATCAGCATTGCCTATGGCATTGCCCAAGGCCATTTACCCGCCTGCGTTGGGAACGTCTTTAGACACCCATAAATGAATGTGGAATACGTGGTTCTCCTAAAACGTGGAATTCGTATATTTCGTTTTAATAAATGACGTACATATGAGTAAATTTGGCTCAAGGTGTAGAAACCATAAATTTTTACTAGCCAAAATACCTATTCACGGTTGAATTAATCAAAAAAGCTTAAGGACAAAAGAGCTTTTATATTTTAGCCGGAAAAGGACTGCATCACCCTTATTTCCACGATCGCCTTCCTCTGGCTTCATGATAGAAAAAAAAACAACTGAAATTAATTGAATCATAATGAATATATTAGGAAAACCTCACTATAAAGTTACTTTTGCTTAAAACTATCTATCTTTTTTGCAAAACAAATTTAAAGCAGAATGACGTCAAATATATCACTCTTCTGAATCCACAACATTTAGCATCAACATTGAATTGTCTTGCCCGTGTGTCACACACAGATGTTATGTGCACCGTGTGGGACATTATTCCATTTTTGGGAATTTTTAGTGGTGTACTGTGTCTGATTCGTCCAAAAAGGCATGTTTTTTAATTTTCTGTATATAGGTTTCTGTGAGCGATCTTATGGGGGTGGGAGGACATGAGGGATTTTGCTATATATGGGCAGCTAAGTCTCGGTCTCTTGAGACTGGAAGTCCCTCAGGTTCCTCATCCTGTTATCTTGAGGTCTACTATTTATGAAAAAGTATACATTGCTTTAAGCATCGAAGGTAACCTTTGACAATAGCTCTGTTCGCACCCTGTTTATTTATCAGCAGGCTGTGAGCATGCTGATACTTCTTGGCTCCTCATTGGTCAAATTCAAGTGGTCTATTCGTTAGACCAATGAGAGGGCAAGAAGCGCCAGCAATAACTTCCTTATATGGGAAAACCGACAGCGCGCTGATATAAAAACAGCCACCGAACAGGGCCATTGATTCATCCACAGAGCATAGGTAACTATTTCAGTAGGCGGAACTATGGTCAAGCGTACCCATTTTCGGGAACGCATTTTCGTTCCCATGTTTGGGAACGATAAACCCAAATATGGGAACGCCATGTAGGCATTATTTAAAACAAGAAAAAGAACCGTTAAATGACGTCCAAAAAATATAAAACGATCGTGAACCGCCTGATAGTTGTCTCAATATTGTTGGGAAAGAGTTTGATATTGTAAGGCCCATCGTAGTTTCAAATCGTTCCCCTATTTCTAAAGCAGTCCATCACCCAGGCCGCGAGCCCAAATTTGGGAACGCTCTCGTACACTGGCGCTGCAAGCGTTCCTTATTATGGGAACGGCGTACCCAAAATTGGGAACGATTTCACCGACGCCTTTCAGGGGCTCTTTTCATTAACAAGCATCACGTCCAACGCCGCAAATTATTGTTAACGCAACAATCATCAGATGACCTTTCCGGCAAGACCGTTGCATGTTTCGCCCGGTCTTCTGCGCTTTTATTCCCGTCGATCTCGCAGCGGACACGCCCCCCTCTGCAGGATTACGTAATCCACAACGCTCAGCGATGTTCAACAAGGTCTTCCATACCTATATCCACCGTCCGCGCCGAGGGTGGAGACATGTCAAGCACCTGTCTGCTAATCACCGAGAGTTGACGAGCACAAGAAGTATCCAAAAATGGGAACGCTGAATATGTTACACCCTCAAAACACCTAGTCCCAATGAAAATCTAGTTTTTTCCTTTCCTAATGAGTGTAAGTGGCAAAAGGCCTGGTAGGATGGGCACGAGGAATGATCGAAATCAGCATAAAAATTATAAATAAGCCACACAGAGCGACCTATATCAGAGAAATTCCCCCCAAACGATCATGCTTAGAAACGCCGAAGACAAAAACCACGCTCATGACGCTGCTTATAAAACAACGCTAAACAGCTAGCATCCAAATAAAATATGTCTTTCAGGGCTGATAAAATACAGCTGAATGATTTTAAACCACTGAAACTGAGTTTACAACAGTAGTTCGGTAAAATCACTGACGTTCCACGCGGTCGATCGCCCCGACACCAAAAGTCAACAATATTACCTCGGGACTGTCCGCGTGTTCGCTTGCATATTGATATGTCAGCATCTGGTGTCGCTAGAATGAAACTTCATAACCAGACGAAAATTATTATACTTGACCTCAAAATGTAAAAAATGCTTCATTTTCCTTAAAATTGCATGTTAAATGTCGTATAACCCATATTTCCACCATTCTGTCATTTTTAAAAAATCATTAAAAATATCATTCCACAGTCAATTTCCTTGTTCCACGGTCAGATTAAAGATAACTTTATGGAGATTTAGTAGATACTTAAATCAGCGTGCACTTTTTTGAGACGTGATGCACTTTTGAGTTTTAGTGGGCGAACGGCCGAAAAATTGCCTTCCGTTCTCATAAATGGGAACGCCCGTTCCCATATTTGAGAACTCCGTTCCCAAAAATGGGAACGTTCCTATATTTGGGTACTCATGACCATAGTTCCGCCTACTGATTTGTAAAGCACAAGCCTGTAGTGCAAATTGAGGTTACTGGATTCAGGCAAGGAGAAGTTATGTGTAGGCCTGACTGTTACATTATGGCTTGATATTGACTGCTTTCAATATTCCTTTTTCAGATAACCTACATAACCAAGTTTGGTGCATCATTGGTGCGGAATTGACAAAAAATGACATTCTTAAAGTCATGGCCAGAGTTTGAAAAAGCTGTGGAACATCTGTATCTTGCAAATCCCATGAAGGTAAGGTACCATGCAGACTATTTGTTGGTTGACATGAATAAAACATTTTTGGATTGTCTGACAGCCTGCAAGATACAAGACTGAGAACTGAAATCACTGGATTTATACTGGTGATGCTGTTCAGCATGATATCTCAAATCTATGTGTATTGCCTATTCACTTCCTATTTAAATTTGTTTTTCAGCTGCATGTTGTGCTTGTAGATTCAGTGACTTTTCTTATCAACCCTCAATATCAACCTTCGTCTGCATTGGTCTTTTTACGTCTTATGTAGGGGAAAGGGGGTCCATTGGAACCTCTGACATTTGGCCTCTGATCAGGCTAGAGCTTATTGGAATAAATGTGCTGCCCATGATTGGGTCAATAGAAGCTCAGGTCAGGTCAACCAGTGGGCATCTTGCTGGCTATCCATAGTAGGACTCAACCACCACTGGCAGCTTTGTAACATGTTACATAAGCACCTAAACTACTTCTCAAATGTTCAAATGGGTGCTGAATTTGTAACTGGCTCCAAACACTATAATAGAAATATGTAAAACTGGTAAAAGTAAACCAAGGTCACCTAAGGTCGATGACCTTCACCTACTTGTATACATGACCTTGATACGCACCATGTTGCATTGGCCAAACATCATTTCACATGTTGGAATGCTTACTACCACATAGACTGGAAATGCATGGATAATATGCGCTGATACCGCCAAATCGCTTCTCCGGCCTGACATGGTCTCAAGAAGAAACAGGTCAAAGGTCTTTCGAGTCAGGGTCATGAAATTATCAGGTTAGGTGTAAAATCACTAAAATCGATTAACTAGAGGTCCCTGTCCTGTCTTTGTTTCATCCCGATCGTCCTTTTTTTTTAGCGAGGAAGGTATTCGCGAAACACCAATGGGGGGGGGGGGGGGGTGGAGGGGGAGTGGGCTCGACCCGGAACAGGAGGAACACGAGCCTTCCTATAAGTGGGCATATACTAGCCTGTTGGAGATAGATTGAATAAAAAACACCCCAGCTTATTGGAGCACTTTAAAAGCATGAGAAACTTAAGCTAAGCATGTTCACTAATATAGGTACAGCCCACCGCTAAAGTAATGTAGGGTTTTACCAATCTCAACGGTTGGCTTTGACTGGCGATTGTTTAATGCGGAGTGATCGAAAGGAAGATGTCAATAGCTAAAGTTGCAGCTGCAAGGGTGACGATACATATAAGCTACATTCAAAGTTTCATTGTAGTCTGGCTAATCGTTCCTAAGCTTCGGAAGCAGAACATACCCATGACTGAAACCCCACATTACTTCTGCTGTGGACTGTACATTATACAGTCACGGTGTGCCCCACTCATTGGTTTCAGCTGGCTGTGAATACTTTCACAATCACAGAACTTTCCCATCAGAAGTATCTTTATCAGACGCTGGAGCGACTTGAGCCAGGGTCGTCGCCTGCCACCAATCACCATAAGGAGCTCGATGCCCCGCCACCCAAACCACGAGAAAGATTTGTACACTTTGCCAAGTGGGCTGTGGGATGCACATAAAAAAGATTCCATAGTTGCAGAACACGAACGGTAAATTTATGTTTTTGGCATTGTATTAGTTGATGTGTTTCAGAGGTGGAGATCTCGGGGGGGGACGGGGGGGTCAGGACTAGTGATGTCAATTACGGAAAATCGGAATACCGATACCAAAACAAATACCAACCAAAACCACGAAGAAATACCGAAACCAAACCGACTTGGGAAAATGAGGGAAATACCAACTTTTTTACCGATTTCTTAGCCTGTTATACATTAGTGAGGGTTCGTGATACCAAAGAAATACCAAACACATTACGATTCAAATACCAAATACCAAGTTGGTATCGGTTTGGTATCGGTATACCAAAAAGTTGGTATCCGATTGACATTTCTAGTCAGGACCCCCCCTGAAAACGAATTACTGCTATGTAAGTCAATGGTACCTACTGCATCCAGCCCGCCTCCATCTGCCCAGCCTTGACCCCCCCCCCCTGAAATTTTGACAGATCTCCACCCCTGATGTGTTTTGTTTGGTCCAGGTCATACCTGCTTTGAATTAGTGTCAGTGTATTGTGCTTGAGGTCTTATTCAAATATTGGAACCTCACACTTCCTCCTCACATGCCTGCTATTCTGTTTTAGGTGAGATACACAATGAAGTATGTCCATTCGGACGGAGCACTTGTGGTGAAGATAACCGACGACGTCAAGGTAAATTAGCTTTACTAATAAATCGTTTTGTAACACGACCACTGTTGTCTATTGCTAAGTAGCATTTGTAGTGAGTATTTGTGTTTAATTTTGTCAAACACGTAACGTGTAAAATGTTTATTTTTAAACAGAAGATAACGATAGAGTAAACTGATAAGTCACAATCGTTTTATAATAACCAAGCAAAAGTCACGCTATGCCTTGATAATTAATTGTCATAATGTGAGATATTACGTAACGTTATTCCTGTGTTCTTAGATGTGATGTACTTCCCCGCAGTGCGTGCAGTTTAAGACGGACTCTCAGAGTGATCTGAAGAACATCAACGTCCTAGTGGCCAACCTCATGAGGCATATGGCGTCAAAAGAGGAGTGATGCTGTGGTGTGAGACGAGTGTTGACAATGTGACGAGCGCGCGTGGAGGTCGGCGTCGTCGGGTACGGCAGACTGAAGACGGCCGATGGTGGCAGATAAAAGTCTAACGGAGGCGCGGACGGACGGCCGGCAGTGGCAGGCTGGAACTCGGTGTTTGCAGATAGTCGATCGCGGATGATGAAAGGCGGTCAGCGGTGGCAATGGTGACAAATGTGAAGCAGATGTTGACAGATGGACTGTTGAATGTGACGTGTGAACGGCATATGTGCATGGGCAGGAGCTGTTGCCCTGCTGAAGGCTCTCACCTGTTGACTGATGTGACCACTGAGTGTATATAATGTCGTGCGCCACTATGACGTCGGGGACGTCGGCGACGAGCGGCGGTGGACCGTGCCGCGGGGTATTTATGGGGTGTCAGGTTGACTAGGCTTGCCAGAGTTTTGATTTTGTTTTCACTCAATCAGTTGCCTTCTTTCTCGCTGTGGTGTGCGGTTTGTCCATAGCAGAGTGAAATAATATATGAACTAGTGGTGGACAGGCAGCAGCGCTCGTCACTGATCTCGGTTTTCCGCAACTGCACTGGAACGCATCGCTTTCAAACACCTCCCGTCGCCACATCGACCCTGCGCGACGCCCTCCTGCAAGCAGTGACGTTCTTATCGGCGACCGAATGCGACCCGGGCTCCGCCCCGCGGCGGGTGAATCAGACGGTTCGTGTAAGCCGGTCAATGGAGGGGGACTGGCGAACGGCGCTCCGGAGACAATTCTGGCGAGGCAGACAGGATGTCATTTGCGTTGGCGCCGGTGCTAATCAATCATCTGTAGCACGGGGGAGTCTGACCTTCGAGGCATTGCCTGGAAAGAAACTGGGAGGAAGGGTCGTGTAAGTCGTAGAACGTATCTTAGCAGAAAACCTTTATATCACGGGACAGAGGGGATCGCGCGAGGCGACGAGCAGCCAGCATTCTTATGGAAATAATGCGTGTTACGTGTTGTCTTTGAGTTTCTTTGTCTTGCTACAATTGCAATTAATCTTAGGCGGAGTTCCCTAGGCTCAGTTGCATTTAACCGCGAGTGAACTCGAGCCTAGGGCTTTGAATCACTGGCGGGTCCAGGGGGGGGGGATAGGACTTAGGGCCATGCCCCCCAAAGCCAGCTTGCCTCCAAAAAAGACCCGAGTTTTAGCATTACGCATTACCCGAGTTTTAGCATGATCCGCCAGTGCTTCGAATTGAGTCGTTTCGGCACTCGATATATGTACCTACCGGATTCGTGACATATGAAAACTGTCGCCGTGCACCGACGCCGTAAGCAAAAATTATACAAATAATGCTACATGGCCCTTTTCACAGCCTTGACCCGCAGGCGGCAGAACGGGGGGGGGGGGGGGCACCGGGTCCGGGACACCGTGCCACCCCCCTTGATTTTGCCCTATGGGCGTTGCATGGAAAGGTGTTCCGCCCATAGATATGGTTCCGCCGCTACTGCCTGGGCCCCCGCGCCGCAACTCCCCGTACAGTGCGTTGTTCTATACAGGGTATATTGAGTTATATATACCCTGAACGTGTACAGTGCTGCAGGGAAACAACTTCCCAGTAAACATGCCGACGTCGGCCCGACGTCGGGCCGAGGCTCGGCCCGATGTCGGCCCAACGTCGGTTCAACCTCGGCCCGACATCGGCTGGACGTCGGATATGCCCGCATGTTCCGACGTCCAGCCGAAGTCCAGCCGACGTCGAGCCGACGTCGGGCCGAGGTCGTTTGCCGAGGTTGACGAGATCGTTCGTCGTTGGACCGACGGGGCCGACGGTGGCATGTTTATTGGGACAACGTGCCAAAAATATCAACCGGCGGCGGGATTCGAGCCCCCCAGTCGCCGACGTCGGCATGTTTAGGCCAAAAGCATCAGCTGGCGATGGGATTCGAACCTCTTGTCATTTGAACGGGAGGTTAGTGCGCTAACCACTACACCACGCAGCCAGATATCGAATATAGTTTGTTTTGTTGGGTTATGCCCTTTCGGTCTGACAAGACCATTTCAGAGCCGGGAGGATGATAGGATGGAGACATTGGTCTTCTTGGCGGGCACCCTGGGTCCAGTTCATATAGAGTCCCTGGTCCCATTGCTGTTACGTGACACTTATTGGAATTAGGGCGACCCCACAATGGATTCATATAGCCACTCTTACACACCTGCACCAACGTTTCCCAAAGTGTCCCTTTGATAAGTGGCACTTTGGCAAAGTGACACTTGCCGACTGGCCTTTCTATATGAACTGGGCCCGGCCCTGGTGAGTTGCCGGGGCTGAGCCTGACCAAAGGATAGGCCGAGCAGCCCCCAAGCACTCACCGCACCCGGCTACGGGCGAGCTCGGCTTACGGGCCATCCCAAATGGGATAAAGTTTCCCGTCCAGTCCGGATCAGGGGGTTGCGGCGTGGAGGAAGATTTGAGTTTCCTGAGGATATTTTGGATACAGAAGCTCTTTATGAAACATGAAACATGTACTTTATATTATTTTAACGGTCAAAACAGCGGCCGATGTCGGTCCGACGTCGCCCCGACGTCGGCCCGACGTCGGCTGGACCTCAGCAATTTATCTCGGTCCGACGTCGGCCCGACGTCGGCTGGACCTCGGCTAGACGTCGGTACATGCGGGCATATCCGACATCCAGCCGACGTCGAGCCGAGGTTGGACCGACGTCGGGCCGACGTCGGCATGTTTACTGGGTTTGTACTTTGTGGAATTGGCAGCGTGTGTAGTAGGTACTCTTATTCTACTCTTTCCAAATATTCATTTTATTGGTTCATTGTCGTCATATAAAAATGGTGTGCTGATTGGCTGGCGTTTCAGCACGAACCATATCCTGGCATTTTACGAGTCTGCACATAAAGTGCTCGGCCGTTGACGTTTATTTCTGCAGTGTGATAGTGAAGTAGCTTCAGGTTAAAATAACAACAGACTCCGAACAATTTTATTCTTTCCATTTTAAGTTACCTGCAAACCATAAAAACTATTCAATATTTATGCCAACTAAAATAAAATTTCGTTTTTCTTCAATAGATAAGCTCGTTGTTCGAGTAAGTGTGATATCCATAGATGTGATATCGTTCAGTATTTTTCTTGAAAAACTTTGTGATAGCTGTTGATATTTTTTTGATGAAATCTTAAGATCTTCAAATCCATAGATATGCAGAATTCAAAATACTTATAAATGTTTTTTCGTGCCATGGCAATAAATACCCTGCACGGATTCTGAAGTCTTGTGACGTCATATTAGTTTGTACATGCAGGAAAAGAAACAATTTGCTGCATCCTTGAGCCCTTGTAAATGGGCGCGACTGGGGGGTGGCGTTGTTAGTGTTTTGACGTGCTGGGAGGTGGAAGGAGCAGGTTGATCTCTGCTTCCTATGCGCTGGTAGGTAATGACTTTTTTATTGATGTCGATTATGTTCCATGGTTTGAATCAAGGATAGGACCAAGGATAGTTCAAGGGCATGCGCCATATTTGTCTATTTCTTTTGTTTATGCTAGTTAAGCTTAAAAATTGCTTGATTTCAAGTTACTATCATTTTTTATTCATTTTCATGTAGGTATCATGTCTGTTGAAGTTTCCCTAATAATTTCTATGTATGCTATGCCACATTTTTGTCTTTATTTCATGTTTATCCGATCACATTTTGCCTCAAATCTAATTGGGCTAATAAGCTCCATTCTTAAATTACCTATTCCTTTGGCCAATTTCATAAACTTGATAGTGTTTTACATCAGGCTGTATTGTACGCCCCATGAAACTACAACCTCTTAGAAGTGGGTGGTTTTATTAGGATTTTGATGGGTAATATGGGACGACGGTGAAAACAGGGCGCCTGGGGCGATTTGATCAAGGTTCGTGAAATTCACACGTGACGTTTAGAATGTAGAAGGCCCACGAAGGGGGAGAAGTTCTAAATGTCACATGACTAATATGCCCTCCGGCGCCCTGTTTTCACCGGCGTCCGTAATATGGGCCATTTGTCTTTCACCTTGACCTGCCCATCACCTGGTAAGGACGGTTCTCTGGTAGGGTTTCCAATGGTCTTGTAGCCATTAGGATAAGGCAGCAGACCTGAGCTCTGTTAGGTCGCTGTTTTTTACTAGCATGTTATCGGTTTTCTCATATAAGAAAGTTCTTATTGGTGCTTCCTGGCCTCTCTTTGTCAATGGTCAAATGAATAGACCATGTGAATTTGACGAATGAGGAGTCAAGAAATAGCATGCTCGTAGCCTGCTGATAAAAAACTGTGAACGAACATCGCCCCGATGAGAACCCAGGTTCAAAGAACACACCAGTTTACCAGCGAACAGTCATCGCCCTGAAATATTGTTTATGCTGCAGGTATGTTATGGTGCTACACCATGGTGTATGTTTTTGTTTGTTTTTTAGTTGTATTTTACTTAATACTTTACTAAAATCATGTCAATAACATCATATGGTTATATCTGCAATCCATTTATTAAACTGTTTGGGCATAAAATGAAGCAGAATGGAGGGGGGAACTGAGTCTCAACCTAACTCAACTCAACGTCAACCTAAACAAACTTGGATAGTTCTCTGTGATTGAGAAGGCCAAATAGTCTCTATTTTTGGACAATCTCTATTACATGGGAGGATCATCTGCCAGCCAAGCAGCTTGGCTGGCAGAAGAAGCTTGAAGCAAGAAGCTTGGCCCAAGCTTCTTTTGTTCAAATTCACAGAAAATGTATGATGATGGTACTGACACTCCTGTGACCTGGGTTCCCAATAATTTTCCTCTTCAACTCAAATATGATTTTATATACTTTTGATAATGTATGCATCTTTTAGCCTTTATAAATCCACCACACTTAAAGAGTGCAAGAAGACCTTAGGAGTTAGGAGATCCCAGATGAGCTTACTTCTTCTTCTGTTGTCCGGCGATTCCGGCGGGCCGATCATCGAGCCTCCGGCAGGAGGCCAGTCCTCCTGAAGAACCTCAGCACCGCGTCCGGGTCCTCTTGTAGCACCGTCAGTGTCGGGGTGTGGCCGAGGAGCGCAGACCGCGCCGCCTGGTATTTCGGGCATTCACAGACCACGTGTTCCGTGTCCTCCGGCACGCCACACTCGGGACACAGGCCGTCGGTGTCCGGCCTGTTCCATCTGGCTAGTGTGGCTTGGAGCAGTGGACAGCGGTTCGCTCGCAGCTGATGGAGCAGAACCTGGTCCCGTCTGGCCCATTCACTCTCATACTTCAGGCAGCGCCCGTCCGTCGCTCTCCGGTGAGTGTGCTCCGGGGGCACGGTGGTGTGGTACGTGCCAGACCATTTCTTCCAGCACACACCACGGATGGCCACTTTCGCCGACGGGAGGTCGATCTTGGCCGTTTCTTGAGGGAGGGTCCTTCCGGTGTTTGCAGCCTGGTCTGCCTGCTCATTTCCCGCGATGTCTGCGTGGCCAGGGATCCAGACGATTTGCACGTTCACTTTTCTGCGACTGAGATGGTTCAGGCCTGTCCATATCTCGGTAAGGGTTTCTGGGGCGGGCCCTCTGGTACCCTGTTTGAGGAAGGTTACCAGTGAGAGTGAGTCCGTGCACAGGCGGGTCGTCTTGACTTCCTTTGGGGCTCCCGCTGCGTCCCTCACAGCTGCCAGGAACGCCACTTGCTCGGCCCGGTACGAGCTTGACCACTTGCCGGCCGGTACGCTCCAGGTCGCGTTGCCTCGGCCTTGCTCGATGCGGACAACTCCCCCTCCGCCAACTCCAAACCCCTTCTCCGTGGAACCGTCAGTGTAGTAGGTTGAGTCCGTGGGCGGCAGGGATTCCAGGACGCGCTCTGCTGCCGCTCGCCTTCTTTCCGGTGGATCATGTCTGGAGGTGGTGTCACCAGATTCCGTGTGGAAGCTGATCCTTCCTTTCCCCATCGACAGCCACGGGGGGCGCGGTGGCAGGGACATTGCCTCCCTCTCCGTCTCCTCAAGCAGCGCTTCCTTCGCGATCTTGGTCGCTTCTTCGCGCCAGGTCTGCCGGTTCACGAGCCGCTTCCTCATCTTCCTGGTGACCGTCTGTCGGGCCGGGACGCTGTCAGGGAGACGGATGACCCTCTCTCGCAGGATCGCGCCTTGTTCTTCAGCCAGAGAAGAGATGCTCCGGATGTTGGCCTCCGCCATCACCACCCTCGTCCTCGTGCCGGCTGGGCAGCCCGTGATGATTCGGGCTCCGGCGGCCGCGACCTGGTCCATCTTCTCCCTGTTCGTCTTCCGGCTCAGCGACATGTACGCCGCGCTTCCATACAGCGCTACGGGTTGGATGAACTGGCAGTACATCCTTCGCAGGGTTACTGAGCTGCAACCCCACGTGGTTCCCGCCAGAGCCTTGGTGACTTGCAGTCGCTTTGCCAGCTTGCCCTTCAACTGCTGTACATGTTGGGTGAAAGACAGTTGGGTATCGAAGACGACTCCCAGCACTGTGACTTCGCTGGTTTGCTGTATGGTCGTGTCCCCCAGACAGATGTCCACCTTTTTCTTTGAGTTTACTTCGTGTACGTTGGAGGTGAATAAGATTGTCTTGGTTTTGGTGGCACTGATTGTCATGTTCCAGGCGTAGGCCCATTCCTCTACTTCGTCCATTGCCGCCTGCACCTTGGCCTGGGCTGTGGGGACACTGCTGTCACTGGCGTAGATGATCAGGTCGTCTGCGTACATGCCGATCTGCACGTCGTGCCGCCGCAGCACTGGTGCCAGGTCGTTGATGTAGCAGAGCCACAGGAGCGGTGAGATCACTCCTCCCTGCGGCAGGCCCTCCCGCATCTTCACCTCTGCGGATGCCGTCTCGTCCCATACCACTCTGGCTCTTCGATCTGCCAGGAAGTTCCTGATCCACCTCATCATACATGGTGGAACATCCATGTCCGTCATCTTGTAGAGCAGACTGGTTTTATTGACACGGTCGTACGCGGCAGTCATGTCTACAGCCACCAGGACTGTTCTCTTGGTGGGCTTCGCTTCCATGGCATCCATGATATCTTGGCCGAGTCGGGCGATCTGCTCCTCTGTGCACCGGCCGGATCTGAAGCCCGCCTGTTCTGGGACGAGGGTGCCATTCGCTTCGAGCAGGTACGCCAGTCGGCCCTGGAGGAGGCGTTCGGCCAGTTTGCAGATGCAGCTGGTGAGGCTGATGGGGCGGTACGACGACGGCTGTTCCGGGGGTTTCCCGTTCTTGTGAATCGGTATGATCTTGGCTCTGCGCCAGGCGGTGGGCACCTCTCCCGATGCGAGACTCTTGTTCAGCACTCTGAGGAGCGTCTTCCTGCCCGCCGTGCTGAGTTCCTTCAGCATCTGTGGCATCACTCCGTCCGGGCCGGGGGCACCTGTTTTCATGTGAGACAGGGCCACTTCCAGCTCCGTCAGGCTGTAGGGACGGCAGACTTTGCCCCGACAGTTTGGGTGTTGCTTGCATGGTTGGGCTACCGCCTTGTTCACCGCCTGTCGTCTGGCCTTCTGGTGGTCTCTGAGTTCCTGGTTTGAGGCTGAGTATTGTGATTGGCTGACTTGGGCATAGTGTTTAGCCATGACATCTGCTTTTTCCTTCGCTGTTTTTGCAGATCTTCTGTGCACTTTCAGGATAGCTGTCGATCCCTGCTTCTTCCCGCGTCCATCCATCGCCTTGATTGTGGAGTAGAGGTGCGAGTTGTCTGTCGCCGCGTCCATCTTCTCGCATTCGCGGGCCCATGCGTTCAGCTTTGCACGTTTTACAACTTGTTTCGCTTGTGCGGTTTTCTCTGTGCATTGTGCCATCAGATCTTCGTTTCCAGGGTCTCTCCTCAGGGCGTCTCGGGCTTCCCTTCTTTGCTGCACGGCTTCTTCGGCTTCTTCACACCACCATGCTTTCGCGTTTCTCCGGGGTGGCACGCGAGGGATGGCTTTCTCTGCCGCTTGGACCATGATTCTAGTGAGTTTTCTTGTCGCTGCCTCGGTCGATGTCATGCGGCGTAGCTTGTGCTTGAATTTGTGGTCGGTCAGTGTTCGGTACAGTGTCCAGTTTGCTTTCCGCAGGCACAGTCTCGCTCTTCTCTTTGCTGGGGGCGGCGTTTTGACTTGCATTTCCACCTTGATGTGTAGCGGGCGGTGGTCCGACGCCAGGTCTTCCCCGATACACCACTCGATCCCGCCGCTCAGGGCGGCATGGCAGATTGTGACGTCTGGTGTGGTGCCTCTTCCGCTCGCATCATGTCTCGTCGGAGCTCCGGAGTTGAGCACACACATGTCATGTTGGTCCATCCACTCGGCGATCCTGCCTCCTCTGGGGTCTCTCGCACGGTTGGAGTCCCAGAGTTCATGGTGTGCGTTCATGTCCGCTGCGATGATGACGTTTCTTCCCTGCGGGAGGCTGTCCGGGTTGAACTCGTCCCTTCTCGTGTCTTCGTTACTTGGTTTTACTGTGGCTATGTACGCGTTTAGCAGCCTTACAGTTCGTGTCGTTGATTGGATATCTATCATGACTGCGTCGGAGTTTCTGTCTCGTACGTCGTACGCTATCGGTTCGAAGCCGAAGCCGCATCCTCTACGGACCAGGGTCAGGACACCTCCGTATCCATGGGATTCTCCGGCGTGCGTTCCTCGATGCTGTCTTCTGTCAGCCCGCGCCGCTACCTCCCATCCCTCGAACTTCGGGGTCTCCTGTCCCTGTCGGAGGTTGGTTTCTTGGAGGCAGAGGACATCTACCTTTTGTTCCTCGGCGTATCGTAGGATCTCTGCCCTCTTCTCTGTTGCACCGATGCCGTTAGCGTTCAACTGAATTATGTGTAGTTCTGCCTTGTGAGTTAGTTTTGTACTTCGTGTTGTTCGTGTCAGATGCTCTGGTGGTCGGTAGTCCTCTTGTGGGAGCGCTCTGGCTGCACTCACAAGGGCGGCGAAGGGACGGGGCCTCTCCGGCTGGGCCTGCTCCACGGCCCCGTCCCTCGGCCGATCCTCGCGTGTGTCCCCTGCCGGGCTCCGAGTGTCTTGTCTTCGGGTGTTGCGAGGTGGGTTACGTCTCGGTGGACCGGAGGCTGGCATGTCTTGTGGTTCAGGTTCCGTCTTGTCTGTTGACGTCTCGAGCAGTCCACTGTCGAGTCGGAATTCCTCCTCCGTGCACTGTTTGCCCCGTTGGATGAGTCGCTTCATCGTTTCACGTAGCGTCTCCGCCTCTACGGTTGTGCACAACTGGAAGACCTCCGTGGGACACTGCTTTCCTGCCTCAATGAGCTGCGCCATTGCCTTACGCAGAGTTGCACTTTCAGTGGTTGCAGTTGCTCGGGCATCGGCCGTTCCTTCTTGTCTTGTCATGGCTCTGGTGACTCTTCTGGTGGGTTGTTTGGTGTCCGTCTCTGGTTTTGTCGGTAGCGTCTCGTCCTCCTTCTCCTTCCTGTGGCCGGCGGCAGCGCCTCCCCTCGCATCGCCGCCGGCGCGGTCCGCGCCCAGTGGTCGGGACGCGGACCGCAGCTCCCGTCGGCTATTCATTTAGGCGCAGCCCCCCACTCGGGGGCCGCGCTGACGGTGTGCGACTCGGTCGCAGCTGAAGTCGTCGGTTGACTCCGGTAGATGCGCCTCTTGGTGCGAACACCCCCACCACGAGAAGGTGAGGCGCGTGGGCGGGGCTTGCGCCCCCGAGGGAGGCGTTCGGGCGGCAGGCAGGGGCCGAGGCCGCTCCCTTCGCCCCACCTCCGTCGGCCGCGATGCGTCCACCAGCGATGATGTAGCCGGCGCCGCGCACCGCAGCGCCGGCTGGCTGCTGCTGCTGGGGCTGCGGCGGCGGCACCTTATCTGGTACCTTAAAAGATGAGCTTACTGGAAGAGCATGCAGGAGGTTGGAGGTGTGATGAAGCCATTTGATAATGGGACAATGAGGAGTGCTTCGTGGAGTGACAAGAACAGACCCTAAGTTTCAATTAGATAAGCTGAGTGAAGTAACTATAAGAGAATCCTGATGTGATCTCTTATGCATTGGGATCCTGATGGACCTGTAATTGATCTGGTACCTTAAAAGCTCAATGATTTGAAACATAATGCATGTGTGCATGAGCATATTGACTCTTTGTCTATCAAAAAGCCAGGGGACAACCCTGGTTTTAATCTGAATCATGTTGATGCCTGATCTTGGTTATGGTGTGTTGTGCAGGGCATAGTCTTACATTCAACTTATGCGCTGATTCATTCAATAAGCACGGACATATTCAATAGGTAGATCTAGTTACCAGTTTCAAACTTTTCTTTTTTCTCTGTATGATATCCTAAATCAAACACAAAGCATGCTCCAATTGTTTTGAAGAGAAGAGCCAATGACACTTATTACAGATGGTAATTTTTAAGTCATGATGGACTGATGTTTCATTTCTATCAATTCCATGCTGGATGTTATTAGCACTCTCCATATGAGGGATTATGTGACTTGATACCAGCAAATTGAATAGACACACAGGCCACAGCATGTGTGTGACTGAAATGCTTGCTCCAGGATGTGTGTGCTGTATTTTACTAGGACACGTCAGTTTTCATTGATATTATTTATCAATTCCTACATACTTTGTGCTTCAATAAGGACATGATGCTATTACCATCACCACAAATCATCATACATCCAATCAGTTCGCCTCTTACCTGATGACACCAAAGCACCATGTCAACTCCTACTTACTACATGGGGTGGCCCCATCCTGAGCAATGAGCATCCTGTCCCATCATTCAGTATGACTATTGGCTTCAGCAATCACCGCCGCCTTGGCATTGGTGGCTGGCACTTCTCCGCCGCTGTCCAACACATGCAGATGGCACACAGGGAGAGCGCCAGCTCGTAGACCCAGCTATGTGTCCAGGCTATCAGCTCTTGTTCCCAAGGCTAGTGCTGTGTGACATCCACCAAGTAGTAGTACTGGGTCAATGTCGCTATTTGTTCATTGGGCAGTGGACACTAGAGATTAGAGAATGACACTAGAAATTTGCTATTGTGTCTACTGCAGCGAGTTTCACATTCATATCAGCGAGCACACAAGCTCAATGAAATGAGTTTTATTGCAGATTTTGGCTTTTTCAGTCCGCCCGTGATATCTCTGAATTATGAGATAAATTAGCTAGCAGAATGGCGTGAAATGGTTCTCTCGTCCAAGTGCCCATCTCGGGCTAGAGTCGTTATGATTAGATGCTTGGCAGTCGGCTGTGATTCAAAGAAATACATTTCGTTACTGTTCACATGTATTTCCAAATTCCTTGTGATTGCTTGCGTGATCGGTGATTGCCACGTAATGCCCATTTGTTATTGTTTGGAAACATGGACTGACGTAGCTAAAACCTAATCGACGAGCATCAGGCCAAAATATGCTCTAACGCGTTCGCCGCCACTTTGATAAAAAGTTTAACACTTGGGCAGGAGATGCCCTGCTCTCAATCATTAGTTGACGATTGCCATACATTGTACGCTTTGTCTTTGTTTGGAAGCTCAGCAAGTAAGAAACTGCAGACGTAGTCGTAAAAAGAAGCGGCTTCTAGCTCCCATACTCAAAGGCGGGTTCTTTATACCATCTGCTACCATAGTCATTGTTTGAGCGCCGTGCCAATCCCGTCCGCCAAGCGCACGATGTACAGCCTGCTCCAGCCGCCTATACCCCCTCCAGCCGTTGTCGGCTGCAGCTGCCGCTGTTGGTTTCAGCCCTGATCAGCTCCAGACTATCGGCTCCAGCCTCCTCCAGCCGCTGGCCCTGGCGGTAGCCGAGCCACTGCCAGGTGCGTCAAACCCTGCTCACAGCTGGGAGACCTCAGCACTGCGACCGACGGCGGACCTTTTCTCCCGGCTGAAATCAGATTTAATATCAGTTCCCATGGCCTATTTACGCTGCTGTTCGGCAATATTTGTGACGTTACGTGTTTGTGTTTTCCCAGGAACTGAGCTGTGAACTGTAGCTGAAGAGATATATTTAGCGCGAAGACTGTAGCCGTAGCGAACACTGCCGTACCTGCCTGCCTTCCCTCCGCGGTATGCCGCCATGGATGTGAGCGTGAAAATTGAAAAGATGGACGTGGAGCTGAGTGGCGGCGAGGAGCCGCTGCCGACGGCGCCGGAGCCGCGGCCGGCCGGCGCCGGGATCCGCCGGCAGCCGCCGCCGCCACTGCAGCTCCACCAGCCCGGCGCCGACGAGCCGGGCCCAGAGCGGCCGCTGGCCGCGCACGGCGGGCCGCCGCTGGCCGCCGCCGCCGTGAAGCGCCACAAGCCGATCCCGCCGCCGCTGGACCTGCGCATGCCGGCGTCGCCGCTGCTGTGCCCGCCACGCACCGCCATCCCGGTCATATCGCCCAGCAGCCCGTACCACCAGAAAAACCTGCCCTTCCGCAAACGGTGAGTCACGCGCGCACACTCATCCCGCCACTGGAGCGGCCGCGGCCGCGCACACGCCGGCGGGGGCGGGCGGGCGCGGCCCTAGCCGGGGTCGTGAGCTGCACAGGGGTCTGTCGCGGCCAGCGGGCCCATCAGGGGTCTGAGCCGCGAGCTGCGGCCGCCGGAGGGAGGGGGGGGGGTCTATCGCGACCAGTGGGTCTATCACTCACCTGACGTTCCTTCGGCGGTGCTGCATCTGTCGGACCAGTGCGGCCCGCCTCGACATGAAGTAATGACACGGTATTCGGCTGGCTCGCAGCTGATGGGCGTTGCCACCTATCTGTACAAACGATTATGTGCTCCGGATATTTTAGACCGGGCAAATAACAGTTCGGAACAACTGTGACCATTGTCCATCCCCCTAGTACTATCGCAGAAACTCGCAATGCCCGTTTTACTGGGGAAATAAATGTGTTCTGTAACGGTTTCGGTTTTCAGTTGAAAACACAACTACGCCTACTAAACTGTAGTTTGGCGGCCTGTTTCCAAATACCAATGTTGATAGCAACCCGCCGGAGCCATTTTCCGGGACGACGGCCTTCCCTGTTGACGTTTGACGGAAAGATAGCTTAATATGATGATTTTTAATTGACAAGTGCTTATTAATTTTTATTCGTCCTACCTGCAAGCGTCTATGGGATTTTAAATGAAACAGTAGCCGTATTCTTTGCAATGTGTGTCAGTGCATTGTGCTGAGTAACTACCGTTGGGTATATCATCTCCGTTATGTCGGCAATGCTAAGAACCGGTATGGAACTCAAAACGTATGATCGTGTCTGATTGCTGGCTGCTTCTCTGTAAAAACACTCCCCGGTTATGTGGTCAGCGTGCATAATGCTGGACGTAAGACGATTCCTTTTAATCTACTTTAGTGTTGTATTTTTAGAAGTGAATAATTCGCCTGGATCTGGGATCAGGAGCAGGTTTACCGAGTTGACGAACTTCTGCCGGTTCCCACACGGCCTTCGGTGGTGCGCACCTGATCTGACTCTGAGCACATGACCCGGGCACGTGGCACCGGGTGGCTCCCACACGGGGTCACAGGGTATCCCACAGGGTACAGGGTGTCCCGGGTAGCGGAACTATCGGGGCGGACCAAACGGGAGCGGCACCGCGCCATGTTGAAATGGTACAACGCGGAGACGGAGGGCACTGACAGCAGACGGCTGGGCGGTGGCGGCTGCTGTGGGAACCAGGCGGGCTTACCCACGTTACCGGGGGTCGGGAAGGGGCGTCGGACTCCGTTCACCCAGTGACACAGCCGCCCCCCCCCCCCGTGCTAGACCACCCGGTCAGTCTGCGAACTCAGCCGCATTTATGAGGCCTTACTAGGCTGGGATGGGAGTTCACTGTGTCTGAATTTAGCGCAGCGTGGACTATTCTGTGTTGCCGCCCACGGACTGCCCGCGGGATGTTTCATGCCTATCCAGGGAAACGGGGGCTGGCTCACTCATTGTAAATAAATCGTGCTTTGGTTAACACCGCGGAGTCGATGTGCTGTTCGCGCCCGTCTGACTCCCGCCACGAGCGCACAACCACTACCAGATTGGGATGACCTGGCCAGTGTCTCTGTTTATTCATTTGCCACGTTTATTCATATGTTGCGGTAGGTTCACCCACCACCACTCAGACCTGTTGGAGAAGTGCGTTTGAGGTGGTTCTATTTGAAAACTGAACAACCGTGACTTACATTATTTAGTTAAACATGTCTTAAATTTTATCACGATAGATCAGCACTATTTCGGGACGCCGTTTTTTGGACATACTGCAGTTTGTCAAGCGCCGTTCGTGTTTGCTCAATTGATGTCGGGGATTCCGCGCCACACGTATGTTCCACGCTGTCGTCTCACTCCAGTCGACACCAGGGACAGCGTTCACTGGCGACAGATGAAGGCTGCCCGCTGTTTACGATTATGTCACGTGTCCGATGATGGATCCCTGCGCGTGCTGGCCGGGACCCTGCGCTGTCGGACACAGCAGCACTGCGTTCCAGTGTGTGAACTCGACAGTCCGTGCACAGACTACGTGGGCTGTCGGACTGGCTTGTCGGGAGATGGATGCTGGGAGATTGCGTTGTTTGGCAGTCTCTACTTCATTGCTTTTTGGGCTAATAACATTTATGGTATCGATTTCGTCGATTTAGAGAAAGCTCCAGCATGTCCGAACTTATCTTATGAGGGGACAGCTCTCAGAACTCAGTTATGTTTTGCTCTGTATATTTAGTGGCGTGTTGGTTTGTGCTCTGGAGGGCTAACGCACGCTACTTTCCACCGTATCCCGTTAGGCCGAGTGGTGCCGGCTGCTCTCCCGCGGCTGGGGCGGCCCGTGTGCCCGCCCCGCGCGGCCCTGCCGGTCCCGGACTCCCGGTGTCCGCGGTCCTGTCGGTGACGGCGTCTCGCTCCAGGCCGTGCCGTCGACCCGGCGCGGTAGCCGTGGGCGGCCGGCGGCCGCTGCAGCCGCCGCCGGGCCGCGCTCGGAAGGCCAAAGGTCGACTGGCCGGCCCGCACCGCCCACCGGCTGCTGCGTGCACCGGCTGCTGTGTGCCGCCCAGGGCGCGCACCCGGTACAGGGCTCCGAGACCACGGGACACCCTGCCCAGGCCACAGGACTGAGTTGGCAAACCACGAGAGCGACACAGAATGCTCCAGACGAGACTGAGCTCCCCAGACCACGCACAGATCTCCCTAGACCACGGAGCAGAGCTCCGAGACCACGGGGCCGAGCTCCCACACCACGGAGCAGAGTTCCCAGACCACGGGACCGAGCTCCCACACCACGGAGCAGAGTTCCCACACCACGGAACCGAGCTCCCACACCACGGGACTGAGTTCCCACACCACGGGACCGAGCTCCCACACCACGGGACCGAGCTCCCACACCACGGGACCGAGCTCCCACACCACGGGGCAAAGCTACCAGACCACGGGACCGAGCTACCAGACCACGAGACCGAGCTCCTCGGACCCCAGGCCACGGTACATAGTTCCCAGACCATGGTAACATATGCTGTATTGGTACTCATTAAATGCCTGACATAATGCCCGTTAGCCACTCACCAGTTCCGGGTAGTGGGCCACCAGTTCGGTATAGCCTGTCACCAGTTCCCGGGGAGCGTATCACCAGTTGGGATGAGCTGTCAGCAGTTCGGCGTACCCGTCTCCAGTGCATTATGTGTCACCGAGGGGTCAGCTCTGGGCCGGCCGCTCGCTGCCGACTTCTGACACTGGGGGAGTCCCGGGTGACATTAGGGACCTTCCGAGCACCTGATCCTAATTGGCCGGTCGCGTAATGTGCTACCCCCCGTGAGACGCGCTGTGTAATGTGCCACCCCCGCGAGACGCTCTGTGTAATGTGCCACCCCGCGCGAGACGCGCTGTGTAATGTGGGTCGGTGGGCGGTGTGTCGGCGGCCGCAGCTCCCCGCCACGGAGCACGGGCCGGGAACAGCCGCTGGCGGGCTCCTGGTGACCGGTCTGCGAGTCACGGTCCTCTGTTGGGGACGAGGTGTCAGCCCGTTCGAGAGGAGGGCTTGTATCCCTTCCGCTCCGTTTCATTTAATGTCTCTCGGTGTCCAGTTTACCGTGGCAGAAATGTGGGAGAGAAGGAAATGCGTCTGCGAGCTGTTTGCACGTGTATGCTGGACAGCTAGTGGCCTTATGCTCTTGTGCGTTCCTGAACAAATTGTGTAGTACGTATGTGCACGTTATTTCGCAAGACACCTGTTAACGTCCATTTCGAACTATAACCACCGGTAACAGAACACTTGGGATGTATTAGTACCACATTAGCACACTGCATTGGTACACGGAATAGTGGATTATCAGTTGGTCGCCTGACAGCGTTTGTTTCCTGCCGCGCCGTCTGCACGAAACGGTAGCCAACAATGAAGGAGCGGCAGGATCGCGTCATTCCAAAGCTGCCGTGCCGTATCACAACACTTGCAGAACGAAAGTGAACAAGTCTTCCTCGGAACCACGGATCGGAAACGGGTTTTTGTCGGTGGTCCATTCAACCGTGTCGCATCGGAAATCGATTCACTATGGCTAAGTCCCGGATTATGGTGTTTCTCGTCTTGCGGTGACTTGTTGCTGCAGTTTTGTGTTTGGGTGTAGGTTTCGCGGCAGGCGGTGGGGCGGTTTGTTGTTGTTTTGTTATATAAGTTCCTCGCGGGCTGCCGGCGCGTGGCACGGCTGCTGCGCCCGCTAATGGTCTGTTGTGTGTGGGCGGAGCGACGGGCGCGGCCGGCTGACTCACCGCCGCCTCCGGGACGGCACGCGGACGGCGCTCCATTGTCCCTGTCGGCCGGCTATTAACTTTGCACGCATGGCGGCCCGCGAGCTGGGCCGTGCGGCGGCGCCGCAGCTCGGGGCCTCCGCATCCGGGCGCGGGCGACACGTAACCGGCCGCTAATGCGGCGCGCCGCCGTACTCGCGGCGGCGGCGGCGAGGTCACTGCAGCGGCAGGTGCCGCCGGCACGCCGCGCCGGTTACAGGTGCAGCGGGGTGACTCCTCCGGTCCCAGCGGCGGACCTCCTCCGGTCCGGGTCCCTGCGGGTAGAGAGAGGGTGAGGGCTAGGGGTCAGTGGCTCTCTGGTTAGGTCCGAGGGGTCAGTGGCTCCCTTTGAGAACACCGCCTCACTGCGGTCGGAGCTGAGATTGATCTCGTCCGTCCATCCGAGCGTCATTGATCGTCACACCAGCGTAAGACAAAGACTAGTGACGAGTTTTTTTTTTTTCATAGCCGGACACTATTTTCAGTTGGATACTGTAGGATCAACTTACGATAGTTCAACACTGTTACCGATCACATGGTGGACTCGTATTGTTTGGCCCCTGAGCCCCTCCCCGTCATCGGCTGCTGTGTGCGATACGGGGAGGGGAGGGGAGGGGAGGGGCGGCGGCTCGTCGACCGGCCAGCGCCCGGCGACTGGGCCGCCGGCCGCGGCTCGGCGGCAGCGAGCCGCTCTGCAGCCGGCTGCACGGCCTTCGCCGGGCCCAGAGGCCGGCCGCCGCCGCCGCCGCCACGGACAGCGCCGCAGCGGCCTTCGCCGAAATGTGTTGATCCATGGGACTGAAATAGCGCGCCGGTCGGAGGTATGCCGTGAATCGGTGTCGGCGGACGCAGCGCCGCGTGCGCCCACACAGGCCGCAAGAATATTATCACGTAAATAGCTAGTTCGCGGAGCTGGCTGTTGTGTCGCCGCCCTATGACGCGCTGCGGTGTGGGAGGGGATCGGCTCGCCGTGTGTATGTGTGTGTGTGTGTGTGCCGGCCGTTTGCCGGGGCGGTGCGGTGCTGACCACGCCGTCTCGCCAGCTGCCCAGTAGCTTGCCATTGTGTGGAAGACAGAGTGAACGGCGGCTGCTTTCCCGTGTCCGAATTCCTGGGCCGTTTTTACGCCATTGTTACAGCGCCACTTGACAGTGACATTTAAATAGGCTCCTTGACGAGCGTGTTGTCGCGATATGAGGGGTGTTCACGGGCACCGCACACTGCTGCGTGCGCTGTGTGCGGTGCGTCCAGCAGGCGTGGGGGTAGGGGATGGGTAGGCGGTTCTGACGTCACGGCTGCGTGCGGTGGACGGTCCGCTGTGGCCAGTCCCGACCGGCCACAGCGATCGCTGTGTGCGGTGACGGAAGGCTGACGTAGGGACGCAGTGGGCGGAGCTTCGAGGCTGTGTGCGGTCCGACCGCACACAGGGCCCGTGAACAGCCCTAGGATCTCTCTGCCGCAGTCCACGCCCGGCAAATGTCGTCTCTTCTGAGCGATGTCTGGGACTCTAGTGCTGCAGTGACCATGTCCCAGCTAAATTGACCGAGCTGGTCAGACGATGTCCCGGCCGGAGCTGGTCTGACAGTGGTCTGTTCTGTCTGCTGGTCTGACAGTGGTCTGTCCTGCTGGTCTGACAGTGGTCTGTCCTGTCCTGCTGGTCTGACAGTGGTCTGTCCTGTCCTGCTGGTCTGACAGTACCCTGTCCTGCTGATCTGACAGTGGTCTGTCCTGTCCTGGTCTGACAGTGGTCTGTCCTGTCCTGGTCTGACAGTGGTCTGTCCTGTCCTGCTGGTCTGACAGTGGTCTGTCCTGTCCTGCTGGTCTGACAGTGGTCTGTCCTGTCCTGCTGGTCTGACAGTGGTCTGTCCTGTCCGGGCTGGTCTGACAGTGGTCTGTCCTGTCCTGGTCTGACAGTGGTCTGTCCTGTCCTGGTCTGACAGTGGTCTGTCCTGTCCTGCTGGTCTGACAGTGGTCTGTCCTGTCCTGCTGATCTGACAGTGGTCTGTCCTGTCCTGGTCTGACAGTGGTCTGTCCTGTCCTGGTCTGACAGTGGTCTGTCCTGTCCTGCTGGTCTGACAGTGGTCTGTCCTGTCCTGCTGGTCTGACAGTGGTCTGTCCTGTCCTGCTGGTCTGACAGTGGTCTGTCCTGTCCGGGCTGGTCTGACAGTGGTCTGTCCTGTCCTGGTCTGACAGTGGTCTGTCCTGTCCTGGTCTGACAGTGGTCTGTCCTGTCCTGCTGGTCTGACAGTGGTCTGTCCTGTCCTGCTGGTCTGACAGTGGTCTGTCCTGTCCTGGTCTGACAGTGGTCTGTCCTGTCCTGGTCTGACAGTGGTCTGTCCTGTCCTGCTGGTCTGACAGTGGTCTGTCCTGTCCTGCTGGTCTGACAGTGGTCTGTCCTGTCCTGCTGGTCTGACAGTACCCTGTCCTGCTGATCTGACAGTGGTCTGTCCTGTCCTGGTCTGACAGTGGTCTGTCCTGTCCTGGTGTGACAGTGGTCTGTCCTGTCCTGCTGGTCTGACAGTGGTCTGTCCTGTCCTGCTGGTCTGACAGTGGTCTGTCCTGTCCTGCTGGTCTGACAGTGGTCTGTCCTGTCCGGGCTGGTCTGACAGTGGTCTGTCCTGTCCTGGTCTGACAGTGGTCTGTCCTGTCCTGGTCTGACAGTGGTCTGTCCTGTCCTGCTGGTCTGACAGTGGTCTGTCCTGTCCTGCTGATCTGACAGTGGTCTGTCCTGTCCTGGTCTGACAGTGGTCTGTCCTGTCCTGGTCTGACAGTGGTCTGTCCTGTCCTGCTGGTCTGACAGTGGTCTGTCCTGTCCTGCTGGTCTGACAGTGGTCTGTCCTGTCCTGCTGGTCTGACAGTGGTCTGTCCTGTCCGGGCTGGTCTGACAGTGGTCTGTCCTGTCCTGGTCTGACAGTGGTCTGTCCTGTCCTGGTCTGACAGTGGTCTGTCCTGTCCTGCTGGTCTGACAGTGGTCTGTCCTGTCCTGCTGGTCTGACAGTGGTCTGTCCTGTCCTGCTGGTCTGACAGTGGTCTGTCCCGGCGGTGGCCGCCGCGCGGTGACCGACTGCGCCGCCGCGGCCTTGGCGCCGCGCGGAGTACGCCGCGCCGCCGAGCCACTTAGCGGCCGCGGCCGCGGCGCCGGCCCGGCGGCTGCCGCCGACGCACGCGACATGCAGCCACTGCCGGACACGTGACTGGCATGGCCGAGCAGCAGCAGCAGCCGCCGCCGCCGCTGCTCCGCCGGTACGCATGTATATTTCATGGACGGCGCGGCCGGGCGCGCGGCGGTTTGTGGAAATTTGCGTCAGCCGGATTAGAGTGCACGCGAGCCGGCGCACGGGGACGGCCGCAGCGACACGGGGGCGGCCGCAGCGACACGGGGCGGCCGCAGCGACACGGGGACGGCCCAGTCGACTCCCGAGTTGGGAGCACTTATCTTCGCCGAACCGGACAGCCGCCGGGCGCACTCGTCAGGAGTTGGTTCGCACGCGCGCCGCACTGCCGTTCCCGATACTCTGATCAATGGTAGTGTCCGAAATGTGACGGGTCCCTGCCGGACCAGCCCTGCCGCCTGGTGCCGAGCCATTGGCGGCTGATGAGAAATGGCTGCGGTCAGTATGCACGCCGGGCCGTATCTTATCTCGCGGCTGTAGACCCGAGAGCGATACGCCCGACGGCGTCCCGCAGTTTCCGAGAACGGGGTCTTTGAGGCGTCGACCGCGTGAGTCAGCCACTCGAGTCCAATTCAGCTGATTACGACTGGCGGTTCTGCGGACGGCAGTCATGATTCGATAAAGTGATGTGTGCGCCATCTCGACGCTCGCAGCAACCGTGTGTGTCACTGGCACACAGTTCCATCATCTTGGTGGAGTTTGCGGATGGGTGCTGGAGTTCATGCAGGCATAGACCACTATATACCGATATATAGTGGTCTATAATGCAGGCTATCAAGTGAGCTCCATTATTCTAATCCCGTACCCTTCTGTTGCTAAACAACCGTGTATTACCAATATAAATAATGCAACCCATCTCGTTGAACATTTTATATATGAAAGGTATCGCGCACCGGCATTTATTTGTTATTCAATAATGTGATGTAAAATAGCGACTATCGGGCTGATGTTATTCTACACTGAGATCGATCCTCGGTCAGTGTTTAGTGAATAGTGAGACCCAGCGAGGTCAGTTCACTGTCACTGATTGTTTTGTCTTTTTTACCTATAGGCCTGCCTTAGTAGGCAGCATGAATTCATGCTGCCTTAGTAGGCAGCATGAATCACATTGCTTATGCTGATGATGTCATCCTTCTTTCGCCATCTCACCATGGCTTGCAAGTGCTCTTGAATACTTGCGAACGATTTGCAGAGGAGTATGATATCAAGTACAACACAAAGAAAACTGTATGCTTGATTATGCGTCCAAAGGCTTTGAAAAATCTTAAAACTCCTGAGCTGTCTCTTTGTGGCACAATATTAAGAGTTGTAAGTGAGTACAAATATCTTGGTTACTTCATGACTGACAATGTGCGTGATGATCTTGAGATTCAGCAGCAATATCGTATGCTGTGCTGTAGAACCAATTCGCTCATTCGCAAATTTGGCATGTGTACGTATGCAGTGAAAAAGTATTTATTCACGACCTACTGTGCTTCTGTGTACTGTGTTCACTTGTGGCGTGCTTATAGTGCTGCGGTTATAAGAAAATTCAAAGTGTGTCTTAACAATGCTGTCAGAATATTCTTTGGCTACTCCAGGTTCTGTAGCGCTTCGTCTATGCATGTGTGTGAAGGATTAGATAATTTTGACGTGATGTACCGAAAAGCAGCATGGGGTTTCATGCAGCGTTTAGATGCATCCACCAACGCGATCATCAATGTCCTGGTTGACAGTGACATACGCCGGCGATCACCGCTAAGAGCGGCATGGAATGATGCTCTGGGAGTGCCATGAATCTTCATGTTATGTAGCATTGGACTAAGTGTCTGTAAATACAAAGTTCTCTCTCTCTCTCTCTCTTAGTCGTGGCATGTCCATCGGTACCCTTCGTACTGCTTCAAAGCGTCCCCTAAGCTCTTTCCAGCCTACCTCTAAAGCGTCGCTAGTCGCAACCCTGACCCGACCCCCCCCCCCCAGCCCGCCCCTGACCCCGACCTGCCCCCAGTCGGCCGCTGACCCGACCCGCCCCCCAGCCCGCCGCTGACCCGACCCGCCCCCCCCCCCCCAGTCCGCCCCTGACCCGATCCGCCTCCCAGCCCGCCGCTGCCCTGACCCGCCCCCAGTCCGTCCCTGCCCTGACCCGCCCCCAGTCGGCCGCTGCCCTGACCCGCCCCCAGCCTGCCCCTGCCCTGACCCGCCCCCAGTCGGCCGCTGACCCGACTCGCCCCCAGTCGGCCGCTGCCCCGACCCGCCCCCAGTCGGCCGCTGACGCCCCGGTCCGCTCCGACAGAGCGTTCAGCTGGAGTAACCTGAAGCTGGAGGACGGCGTGCCGTCGACCGTTGACCACGAGCTGCCTGAGGAGCCGCCGCTGTCGGCGCCGCCGCCGCCGGGCGCCGGACCGCTGCTCTCGCCGCGGCCGCTGATCCGCGTGGACGCCACGTCTCGGTCCGTGCCGTGCACGCCGCACCTGGCGCTGCTGACGCCCAGCGCGCTGCTCAGCCCGGCGCCCAGCCACGTCAGCTCGTCGGCCGGCTCCAGCCAGGAGGAGATCCGCACCGGCGACCGCTTCCTGTTTCCGCCGGCCGGCGTGCCTCCCGCCTCGCCGCACGCCTGGCACTCCTCCGTCTGGCACACCTTCATGGCCGGTGAGAAGGACGGAGACGGCCGCAGGTGGCGTAAGGGGCATCTGTGGTGTAACAGCGCGCCTGCTCGTGGCACTGGATTATCCTCGAGTCATTTCTTTCGGCTATCAAGATATGTTTCCTGTGATTTAGCCTTGATTTGGTACCGTTCCTCTGCAGCTCGTTCAATATTTATCTGTGTGCACAGGTACGAAGATCAGTTTTCACCTGTCGGAGCCGTACTGGATGTGATGCCGTGGTACCGCAGCCCTGTCAGTGTGTGTATGTCTGTGTGCGCAGGTACCAAGATCAGTTTCCACCTGTCGGAGCCGTACTGGATGTGATGCCGTGGTACCGCAGCCCTGTCAGTTTGTGTGTGTGTCTGTGTGCGCAGGTACCAAGATCAGTTTCCACCTGTCGGAGCCGTACTGGATGTGATGCCGTGGTACCGCAGCCCTGTCAGTTTGTGTGTGTGTCTGTGTGCGCAGGTACCAAGATCAGTTTCCACCTGTCGGAGCCGTACTGGATGTGATGCCGTGGTACCGCAGCCCTGTCAGTGTGTGTATGTCTGTGTGCACAGGTACCAAGATCGGTTTCCACCTGTCGGAGCCGTACTAGGTGTGTGTCCGTGGTACCGCAGCCCTGTCAGTGTGTGTGTGTGTCTGTGTGCGCAGGTACCAAGATCAGTGTCCACCTGTCGGAGCCGTACTGCATGTGTGTCCGTGGTACCGCAGCCCTGTCAGTGTCTGTGTGTTGTGTGTGTGTCTGTGTGCGCAGGTACCAAGATCAGTTTCCACCTGTCGGAGCCGTACTGGGTGTGTGTCCGTGGTACCGCAGCCCTGTCAGTGTGTGTGTGTGTCTGTGTGCGCAGGTACCAAGATCAGTTTCCACCTGTCGGAGCCGTACTGGATGTTTGTCCGTGGTACCGCAGCCCTGTCAGTGTGTGTGTGTGTCTGTGTGCGCAGGCACCAAGATCAGTTTCCACCTGTTGGAGCCGTACTGGATGTGTGTCCGTGGTACCGCAGCCCTGTCAGTGTGTGCTGTGTGTCTGTGTGCGCAGGTACCAAGATCAGTTTCCACCTGTCGGAGCCGTACTGGATGTGTGTCCGTGGTACGGCAGCCCTGTCAGTGTGTGTGTGCCTGTGTGCGCAGGTACCAAGATCAGTTTCCACCTGTCGGAGCCGTACTGGGTGTGTGTCCGTGGTACCGCAGCCCTGTCAGTGTGTGTGTGCTGTGTGTCTGTGTGCGCAGGTACCAAGATCAGTTTCCACCTGTCGGAGCCGTACTGGATGTGTGTCCGTGGTACCGCAGCCCTGTCAGTGTGTGCTGTGTGTCTGTGTGCGCAGGTACCAAGATCAGTTTCCACCTGTCGGAGCCGTACTGGATGTGTGTCCGTGGTACCGCAGCCCTGTCAGTGTGTGTGTGTGTGTGTGTGTGTGTGTGTGTGTGTGTGTGTGTGTGTGTGTGTGTGTGTGTGTGTGTGTGTGTGTGTGTGTGTGTGTGTCTGTGTGCGCAGGTACCAAGATCAGTTTCCACCTGTCGGAGCCGTACTGGATGTGTGTCCGTGGTACCGCAGCCCTGTCAGTGTGTGTGTGTGTCTGTGTGCGCAGGTACCAAGATCAGTTTCCACCTGTCGCAGCCGTACTGGGTGTGTGTCCGTGGTACCGCAGCCCTGTCAGTGTGTGTGTGTGTGTGTGTGTGTGTCTGTGTGCGCAGGTACCAAGATCAGTTTCCACCTGTCGGAGCCGTACTGGATGTGTGTCCGTGGTACCGCAGCCCTGTCAGTGTGTGCTGTGTGTCTGTGTGCGCAGGTACCGAGATCAGTTTCCACCTGTCGGAGCCGTACTGGATGTGTGTCCGTGGTACCGCAGCCCTGTCAGTGTGTGTGTGTGTGTGTCTGTGTGCGCAGGTACCAAGATCAGTTTCCACCTGTCGGAGCCGTACTGGGTGTGTGTCCGTGGAACCGCAGCCCTGTCAGTGTGTGTGTGTGTGTCTGTGTGCGCAGGTACCAAGATCAGTTTCCACCTGTCGGAGCCGTACTGGGTGTGTGTCCGTGGTACCGCAGTCCTGTCAGTGTGCTGTGTGTCTGTGTGCGCAGGTACCAAGATCAGTTTCCACCTGTCGGAGCCGTACTGGGTGTGTGTCCGTGGTACCGCAGCCCTGTCAGTGTGTGTGTGTCTGTGTGCGCAGGTACCAAGATCAGTTTCCACCTGTCGGAGCCGTACTGGGTGTGTGTCCGTGGTACCGCAGCCCTGTCAGTGTGTGTGTGTGTGTCTGTGTGCGCAGGTACCAAGATCAGTTTCCACCTGTCGGAGCCGTACTGGATGTGTGTCCGTGGTACCGCAGCCCTGTCAGTGTGTGCTGTGTGTCTGTGTGCGCAGGTACCAAGATCAGTTTCCACCTGTCGGAGCCGTACTGGGTGTGTGTCCGTGGTACCGCAGCCCTGTCAGTGTGTGTGTGTCTGTGTGTGCAGGTACCAAGATCAGTTTCCACCTGTCGGAGCCGTACTGGATGTGTGTCCGTGGTACCGCAGCCCTGTCAGTTTGTGTGTGTCTGTGTGTGCAGGTACCAAGATCAGTTTCCACCTGTCGGAGCCGTACTGGATGTGATGCCGTGGTACCGCAGCCCTGTCAGTGTGTGTCTGTGTCTGTGTGCGCAGGTACCAAGATCAGTTTCCACCTGTCGGAGCCGTACTGGGTGTGTGTCCGTGGTACCGCAGCCCTGTCAGTGTGTGTGTGTCTGTGTGTGCAGGTACCAAGATCAGTTTCCACCTGTCGGAGCCGTACTGGATGTGTGTCCGTGGTACCGCAGCCCTGTCAGTGTGTGTGTGTCTGTGTGTGCAGGTACCAAGATCAGTTTCCACCTGTCGGAGCCGTACTGGATGTGATGCCGTGGTACCGCAGCCCTGTCAGTGTGTGTCTGTGTCTGTGTGCGCAGGTACCAAGATCAGTTTCCACCTGTCGGAGCCGTACTGGATGCCGGTCGAGGAGCTGGTGCGTCTGGACGGCTCGGCGGCGCCGTACGGCCTGCTGCTGCGCGCCGTGCACACGGACGTGGTCGGCGTGGAGCCGGACCGCTGCGTGCTCCACCTGCAGGCCGTCTACACGGGACAGCCAGAGTTCCTGGCCGCCTGCGCCGTCCAGCAGCCCTTCTTCGTGCAGAACGTCGGTCAGTAGAGGGCGCGGCGGGCGTAGAACCGACTCGGTTAGGGCCAGTCACAGGTCAGGGTGGGCGCGAACGCGGCGTGTCGGCCCTGTAACAATGCACGGCGGTGGCCACCGACAGGGTATACCAGGCCTAGTGCAGCAACGGTCACTGTGACACTGTGGAACTGTTAGAATCGACTGACTCTGCCAATGGCTAGCTGGTCCTCCAATGTGTGCACCTACTGTAAGTACATCTGTACTTTAATTGGCTGTGGACCCGCAGTTGCTACTGTACACGAACCCCAACTCTAGCCGTATATCCTGTCCAGTAACAACCGATAACATTGATATCGACTGTCGGTCCCTGTACAAGAGCAGCTGAGGTTTCCTGTGAGTACCCTCTGACAGCTTATCGTTGTTCCCTGTGAGGGTGCTGGGACAATTTACTCAAGGTCGCTGTACAGTAGCAACTGCGGGTCCCGTGCCTTTCCGTCGGTGGCCCTCCCTCCTTTGCCTGTATCCTTCCGACATTCCGTTCTTCCCTCTGTTGACAGTTCCAGTGTATCCCTCTACTGACTCTGCCCCCCCCCCCCCGACAGTCCGGTCGTCCATCTATTGACCACCTCTCTCGGTCCGCCAGGCTGGTCGTCGCTGTGCCCCGAGCAGACGTTCGAGCAGTACTCTGTGCCGTGCCGGGAGCTGCGCCAGGGCGACGTCTGTCTGACCAGCGGCGGCCCGCTCCAGTCGCCCCGGCCGCCGCTCTCCGTCGCCCACACGCCGCCCGGCTCGCCGGCCGCCCGCGTCGTGCCGCCGCCGCCCCCGCCCGGACCGGCCGGCGGCGGCCGCCCAGGAGCGCCGCCGCCCTCTCCCGCCGCCGCCTCCGCCGCCGCCGCCGCCGCCGACAAGCCCGTGAAGCCCAAGCGACCCATGAACGGGTTCATGCTGTTCGCCAAAAAGTACCGTGTGGAACTGATCAACCAGCACCCGGGAAAGGACAACAGGTGAGGGTGCGGCGGCGGCGCCTCCTATGTCTGTGTATCTCTTTGTACTGACCCGGCCCGATGTATGTCTGTGTGCTGAGTCTGACCCGGCCCGCCGTATGTCTGTGTACTAACCAGGCCCGCCGTATGCCTGTGTACTGACCCGGCCCGCCGTATGTCTGTGTACTGACCGGACGCCGTATCTCTTTGTACTGAGTCTGACCCGGCCCGCCGTATGTCTGTGTGTGTACTGACCGGCCCGCCGTATGTCTGTGTACGGACCCGGCCCGCCGTATGTCTGTGTACTGACCGGCCCGCCGTATGTCTGTGTACTGACCGGCCCGCCGTATGTCTGTGTACTGACCCGGCCCGCCGTATGTCTGTGTACTGACCCGGCCCGCCGTATGTCTGTGTACTGACCCGGTCCGCTGTCTCTCCCTCGCAGGGCCATCAGTGTGATGCTGGGGGAGACCTGGAAGGGCCTGCCGCCCGAGGAGCGCGAACGGTTCACCCAGCAGGCGCGCATTCTTGCCGAGGAGAAGAAGCGCATGTACCCCGACTGCTGGAAACGCAAGCGTTCCGTGTCAGCCAGCTGAGCGCTCGGCCGGCGCTGACGCCAGCCGGGATCGCCGGCGTCGGCTGACGTCTGGGACGTCTGTGATCAACCGGGCTTTCACACTGATCGGTAAGGGCCGGCCGGCTCGGCGCTCTAGTGGCCACGGGCGGAGATTGTAGTTGTCAGGCGGGTGTCAGTTGCCAGGCGGCGCTGGTGTCGCCGCCGGCGGGGCCCTGTTGCCTGTCGGGCGGGCCTCCCTGGCGCCCGGGGAGGCGGCCACACGGGTACGGTTTTAGCTCTGAGAGAGGCGACCCCGGGTCGGCCGCAGCACAATGATGAGATTCCCGAACGAGCGAGAGATATGTTATGCTATACGGAGGCTCCGTGGACAATCGGTATTGTTTTTCGTTGCGTTGTGAAGCGACTTTTAGTATTTTAAGGAGACGTTGTTGTTCGCGGGGGCGCCGGGCCGGCAGAGGCCGCGGCGCCCGCCGGCGAGACGCTGCCCGCATGGCTGAATGTTGTCCCGCGCACTGGCCGACGGCGGTGCTGTATTTTTATAGGCGCGCTTTTGGCAGCGCTGTTTTAATCGGAGTTGGCTTGTGATACATGTGATCTCGCGTGGCGCCCTGGTGAGGTGTACAGGCGATCTCAGGCGCGGCGCGGCGGTCCGCAGGTGCGCGCTGCCCGCCCGGACCGCCGGCGCCGGCGGCGAGACTCTTCCGCCGGGCTTCCGTCGCGCCGCCCCGCCCCGCCCCGCCCGTCGTCCCCCGGTCCCCGGCGCCGCGCGCGCGCGCTCTGTGCTTGGTGTAGCCTGTGTTGGCCGGCGGCGGCCGCTCCGTGTGGTGTGAGGCCGCGCGGCTCGCCGCCCCGCCCCACCGCCCCGCCGTGCTCTGTTCATACCGGTGTTGTGTTGGCGATGTTTGGTGTTCGCCGTCGGCTGTCGCCGCCCCCGCCCCCGCTCAGACTGTCCGCCTACCACATCGTGTCAGCAGGCTCAAATAAATCCGCGCTTGACCAGCCTCGCTTTGTGAGTCGATGCGGAGCTGTTGGTGTGACCGTGCCGAGAGCATTGGTCCGGAGAACTGGTCCCGTACAGAGGTAGTGCGAGAACTGGTCCCGTACAGAGGTAGGACGGGGAGAACTGGTCGCGTACAGCGGTAGGACGGGGAGAACTGGTCCCGTACAGCGGTAGTACAGGGAGAACTGGTCCCGTACAGAAGTAGTTAAGGGAGAACTTGTCCCGTACAGAGGTAGTACGGGGAGAACTGGTCCCGTACAGAGATAGTTAAGGGAGAACTGGTCCCTTAAAGAGGTAGAACGGAAAGAACTAGTCCCGTACGGAGGTAGAACGGTGAGAACTGGTCCCGTACAGAGGTAGTACAGGGAGAGCTGGTCCCTTAAAGAGGTAGAACGGAAAGAACTGGTCCCGCACAGAGTTAGTTCAGGGAGAACTGGTCCCGTACAGAGGTAGTACAGGAAGAACTAGTCACGTACAGAGGTAGTTCAGGGAGAACTGGTCCCGTACAGAGGTAGTACAGGAAGAACTAGTCACGTACAGAGGTAGTTCAGGGAGAACTGGTCCCGTACAGAGGTAGAACGGGTAGAACTTGTCCTGTACAGAGGTAGGACGGGGAGAACATGTCACGTACAGAGGTAGTAGAAGGAGAACCATGGTCCCGTACAGAGGTACATAGTTCAGGGAGAACTGGTCCCGTATAGAGGTAGGACGGTGAGAATTGGTCCCGTACAGAGGTAGTACAGGCAGAACTGGTCCCGTACAGAGGTAGGACGGGGAGAACTGGTCCCGTACAGCGGTAGGACGGGGAGAACTGGTCCCGTACAGCGGTAGTACAGGGAGAGCTGGTCCCGTACAGAGGTAGGACGGGGAGAACTGGTCCCGTACAGAGGTAGAACGGGTAGAACTTGTCCTGTACAGAGGTAGGACGGGGAGAACATGTCACGTACAAAGGTAGTAGAAGGAGAACCATGGTCCCGTACAGAGGTACATAGTTCAGGGAGAACTGGTCCCGTATAGAGGTAGGACGGTGAGAATTGGTCCCGTACAGAGGTAGTACAGGGAGAACTGGTCCCGCACAGAAGTTCAGTAAGAACTGGTCCCTTACAGAGGTAGAACGGGGAGAACTGGTCCCGTTCAGAGGTAGAACGGGGAGAACATGTCACGTACATAGGTAGTAGAAGGAGAACCATGGTCCCGTACAGAGGTAGTTCAGGGAGAACTGGTCCCGTACGGAGATAGTACGGGGAGAACTGGTCCCGTACAGTGGTTGTAGACGGAGAACTGGTCCTGTACAGAGGTAGTTCATGGAGAACTTGTCAGAACTTTTCACGCACGGGGATATTAAAAGGAGAAGGTCTGCTCCCGTACAGCGGTAAAACTGGAAGGACTGGTCCCTACAGAGGTAGGATGGTGAGAAATGGTCCCGTGCAGAGGCAGGGCGGGGAGGTAATTAGGCTGCAGAAATATTTTAGCCATTGTGGAGAGACTCAGGAGAACCACATGTGGCTTGTGTCTGCCCCTTATCCCGCGCGGGGCTGGGGTCTCCAGCCGAACGCGCGGGGCTGGGGGGGGTAAATTTTACCCCCCCTGTTATCTCCCGAACTAATGGTCCGATTTGGAAAAATCAAACGCCAATCGAAAGATCTCATCACGAACTACTAAAAACATGTACTTAATTTAAAGATTGATGTCAAGGTCAAGGTCAGGTCAAGGGTACAAATTGCAAGTTTCTACAGTATCGGCCTTGCACCGTAGTTGCCGAAGAATGGAGTCATCGACTGAGACTGATTGCCCAAAACGTGTTCTTAGGCTACCAAGACAATATTCGTTGCATACAATATCATTCAGTGGTCAAGGTCAAGGTCAGGTCAGGTCAGGTCAGGTCACCAAAAAACAAATTATGGAAAAGGGCATGTGCGACACATGTTTTATGGGTCATTTTACTCATAGAATTCAATAGGCACACTCAATAAGTGATATGGACCACCTCTAGATGAATTTCAGGTCGAGGTCAGGTCAAGGTCAGGTCAAGTGAGGTCAAATTTTGAAGTTGGTTGTTAAGGCCTAAAAAGGTGTCTATCTGATGCAGTTTTTCACGGCGAATCGAATGGTGCTATTTTTGTTTCCGTACGAGGTCTAGAACTTCCGAAAAAAATCATTTTCCAAAATTTTTGTGTGTCGTGACGTCATAAAATTTAGAATAACTCCCACATTTTTGAACCGATTCTTCTAAAAATTGGTATGTAGGTGCACATAGACCACTTCTCTGACATATATTCCGGTTTTTTCGATGCAGTCAAAATTTTGGATTTTATCATTATTTTCCCAAAAAAGTCAGTTTTTTTTGAAAAAAAAATTTGGGCCAAAATCCAAAATTTTCAGAAAACCGAGATAGCCATTTGATAGACAAAGTAGAATTACGTATAACCTTTTTTGTTACGTCTTGATTCCTTTAAAAATGAAGATGTTAGCGGCGTTTGAACTTTTGCCGTTTTTGAGGCGAAAATGGCGAACATGACGTCACTAAAACGTCAATCTCTCAAAAATTTTCCGACGGATTTCATTCAAATTTTCAGGGAATGTGTCAAATTGATGTAAGAAAAGGTACTGAAAGTTTGGCGGCGCTGCGCGCCGCCGTTTTTGAGATATTGCAAAAATTCGCGAGGGGGGTAAAATTTACCCCCCCCCCCAGCCCCGCGCGGGTTATCCAATGAAGATATATTTGGGCCGATTGTATTTATTATTTTTACGTGGTATAAATTAACGGATGTGCCAGTGTGTCATCAGTCGCCACTGGTGACATGGGTACACATGAGCCACTACGACGTCCGGAGCCCCGACGGATGTCGTCGTTTGCGTCACTAGAGTACCGTCACTAAGATGCCGTCACACCGCCACCGTCACGGCATTTCCACGGCCGGCAGTCGGTCTGCAGTCGCCCCGGGCAGGCGGGGCGGAGTGGGGGCGCTCCCAGTAAATATTTATACTCACCCGGTCGGCGGTCAGCGGTCAGCCGGAGCGCCAGAGCGACCACGGCAGCCGAGCGCGGTCAGAACTGAGACTGCAGTGACGGACGGGTCAACATGGCGACACGGACCGAACACCTCCTCCTGGTGGCTGCACTGCTGCTGGTCACAGGTGAGCCAAGGGTAAGCTCACCGACACCCACTGCACTGCTGGTAACCTGTGAGCTACACTGCACTGCTGAGTGCTGATCACAGGTAAGCTACACTGCACTGCTGACCACAGATGAGTCACACTGCACTGCTGCTCACATGTGAGCAGGGTTGATGCAACAAGTTTTTGGAGTGAGGGTTTTCGCAAAAAAACGCGTAAAAAGCGGCCGATCGCGACGAAACTTTCAGTACCCTGGCGGTAATTAGTTTTACATCTATCCTGAAATTTCATGAACCTGACCCAATTGACCTTTGACCTGTGACCTACTTTTCGAGACCATTCTGGTTGGAATCGCGATTCGGCGTGTCGGCTCGCATAAGCCGCGCGTTTGCAGTCGTTTCGTGGTTTCAATGATTCAAACATGAGTTATGATGTTGGCCCCATGCATTATAGGCTGGGTGTCAGGGTCACCTGAAGGTCCGGTCAGACCACTGACCTTTGATGACCTCGATTTACTTTTTCGATTTTTACGTGTTTCTAGGCTAGTTTTTGGAGCTAAATTCGAATTTAGTAACTATTTGAACATTAACCTGCGCACCGACGGGGGGCGGATATCCGCCCCCCCCCTCCCCCCCTGAGGTTTTTCGTAGATAGTGGGAAAACCTCCGCGCCGCGAAATTTGGTACGACTATTCTCTCATAAATTTTACACATCGTGTGCAAGTTTGAACCTCCTAACTTTTAACCCGCGCCGGGCCGGTGCTCTGAGATTCCGCGCCGGGCCGGGGGGGGGGGGGTCTGAACCCCCCTTCTAACTCGGCTCCTGGGCCACGTAGCGACACGCGGTAAACGGCAGTCGAAAGGACGTCCAAAATAAGGACGAAAACACTCTGGTCATTTTTTTGGGTCAGGTCAAAGGTCAGGTCACCAGAGGTCACCAAAGGTAAAATGTTAACTATTTCAACATTTTGGAAACTGCCAACGGCTATCTCGGCAACCGATAGAGCTACAGCGCCGCGGAAAAGCGCATTCGATAGCCCTTTTACAGACATTTCTAGTTTCTTAGTGATGTCCTCAGATTTGACCTCAGGTCAACGGTTTAGCCTCCAGAGGGCAAAAACTCCAAAAATAGCCGTTTTACGAAAAACGTTTTTCGGCAATAACTTTGGACTCAAAAGAGCCAGGACATTACTGTTACCAGCATCGTGTTCCTCTCGTCAAGACGCGTCGAATGAACTATAATTTGACATTGAAAGGTCAACTTGAAAATTTGACCTCAAGGCAAAGGTCATGACCTGACCGGCAAAGGTCATATTGCATATCAGTCGATCCGCAACGTCAAGCCGAACACATCTAAGGCGTTTTCAGCGCTCTAGCACGCCTCTTTCAGAAGTTATTAGCGAAAAACTGTTAGATTTTGTTCGTGACCTGAGATAACCTCAGGGACATAACGAGGGGTCACAGTTGCCATTTTCCGGTTCACTGTGTCAATTTTACCTTCATCTCGATGTTTGAGAGTGTCTAGAATAGCGTTCGTGCAAAACAGACGCCTTTCAATTTTCTCCCATTGACTTATAATGGAGAGGCCGCAAAATTGACCTGACCTCATGTCACCGATATCAAAATTCAGAGATATACATTTGATAGATAATGTTGCCCTAATCAATCGCTGAAACTTTCAAGGAAATCGATCAATCGATCTAGCTATGACGAGCATTCTTATTTTTTCTGAGGTAAGGTCACTTGGCGTGACCTGGTGACCTGACCTAAGGCGACCTGGGTCTGAAATTTTCACAACATGTGCGGAAAAGATGCACAAACAGGTGTGCCAAAAACCGAGATATCTACGAAAAACCACAGGGGGGTGTTCAAACCTGGTTCAAACACCCCCGGCCCGGCGCGGGTTAAGGTCAGGTCACCAGGTCACTTTGAATGACCCAACCTCAAGCCACTTTTTTGCAACTTTGTCACCGTGCCAGAGCTACAGTAGATGTCGGAGGCCTTTGAAAGTCGCAGGATGTTAAAAGGTCATTAGTAGCTACAATTTGTATTTCTCGGAATTTTGATATCGATGACCTAAAGTCAGGTCAATTTCTCGACCTTCCCATTATATGTCAATGGGGGAAAATCAACTCCCTGTTTTTACCACTAAAACGGGTCGGAATGGCCCCATAAACCATACATGACTTCATATACGATCAACCTTCACTACCTTAAGGTCGTTTTTGCTGTTGGGGAGCTGTAAGGTCATGTGACGTCATCAAAGGTCACCAAAGGTTTTTTGCCAATAACTCCGTACAGGAACAAGATACAGCCGCGCGGATGGTCTCATTGGGTTCAGCTCGTCAAGGCGCATCGAATGATATACATGATGACCTCGAGTTCACGTGTCCTGAGGTCAACCTTTGACCTTGACCTTTCGTGTAAAACGGCGCTCCGCGCTGCCGTTTTTTTGAGATATTTGCGAAACACCACAATGGGATTTTCAACCCCCCCCCCCTCCCCCTCAGCAGGGCGCGGGTATTGTTTGTGAAATCAGAGCTGTGGATTTCTTGACTACACCAGCCGGAGCATCAATGACCGGGCTGTACGGACCGGAAGTGGTTGTTTCCGCCGCTCGGGAGCCGGCCCGGCGGCGGCCAGATGACCAGATGAGGGCGTTACTCGGGTATGGGTGCTGACCGGACGTGGGTGTTACTCGGGTGTGGGCACTGGGCAGGGATGAGGGTATAGGCTTATATACTAGTACTGACCATGTCTGGGTGTCCCCCCCCCCCCCCAGGGGCCGGTCCGGCGGCGGCCCGCTCCTGCAGGGACGGCTGGCAGCGGCCCGGCGTCTGCGTCAGCCTGCGCTCCTGCACCTCCATGCAACAGCTGATCCGACGAAAACCCAGCAGCGAAGATATCGCCCGCATCAAGGGCAGCATCTGCTCCACACAGGTCGGATATTTCGTATGGACGGTGTTTATGGCCTCGTAATCGATTGGTGTAAACATCAATTCCAAATCGATCCCCGTCCCCTCGCTTCGTAGCCAAACATCACCTAACAACTACACGATCCTGAATCCAGAATCCAGTCGCGTCAGTACGCACGGTGAGGTGTCTGTCCCACTAACCCTGTGACTGTGAGGTGTCCGTCCCACTGACCCTGTGACTGTGAGGTGTCCTACTGACCCTGTGACTGTGAAGTGTCCGTCCCACAGACTCTGACTGTGAGGTGTTCGTCCCACTGACCCTGTGACTGTGAAGTGTCCGTCCCACTGACCCTGTAACTGAGGTGTCCTATTGACCCTGTGACTGTGAGGTATCCCTTCCACTGACTCTGTGACTGTGAGGTGTCCCTCCCACTGACCCTGTGACTGTGAGCTATCCCTCTCACTAACCCTGTGACTGTGAGATGTCCGTCCCACTAACCCTGTGACTGTGAGGTATCCTTCCCACTAACCCTGTGACTGTGAGGTGTCCCTTCCACTGACCCTGTGACTGTGAGGTGTCCGTCCCACTGACCCTGTGACTGTGAGGCGTCCTACTGACCCTGTGACTGTGAGGTGCCCTATTGACCCTGTGACTGTGAGGTGTCCGTCCCACTGACCCTGTGACTGTGAGGTGTCCCTCCCAGTGCCCCTGTGACTGTAAGTATCCCTCCCACTGACCCTTTGACTCTGAGGCGTTCCTCTCAGGCTCCCACTGACCTTGTGACTGTGTGAGGTGTCCTACTGATTCTGTGAGTTGTGACTGTGAGGTGCCCCTCCCACTGACTGTCCGCGCCGGCAGGGAGGGCTGGTGGTCTGCTGCGCTCTTCCCACGCCGACCACCACCACCACGACCACCACGACCACCACGACCCCGGCGCCGCTCGACCTGTCCCAGTTCGACCCCAACACGCCCGAGGGCAACCCGAAGCGGCTGCTGCTGCCGCGCGACTGCGGTGTCCTGTTCACGGAGCGGATCGTCGGCGGCGAGGAGGCGCAGCTGGGCGGACACCCGTGGCTCGCGCTGCTCGGCTACAAAGGTGAGTCAGAAAGATAGGTACCAACTCCAATCTGTGTGCTGCTCCAATTCAAGGGTGATCGTCACGTGAATCCTGTCCTACGCTACGCTTTAATGGTGGGTCAGTGGCAGTGCAAACCCTTCAGTTGGGGGGGGGGGGGGGTGAGGGGTCATTGAAGGCAGTGGAGAGGGCAATAGAGCCGATCTGCAGTTATATAGCTGCAAGTGAAGATGAGTCATAAACTGTCATGAAATAAGATAATTCGCTGGCACTTTTATTATGATGCTTCGAAATGTATGTGTTTCGATAAGATATGGATGGGTATGCGAAGGTGGTTATGGACTATCCCGCTCCATAGCTGAGTGGCGAGGAGGTGGATTGTCACTGTATTCCGGCAGACGAGGCCACTTACGACTACTACAGCTACTACTACGAGGAGGCCGGAGAAGCGGCCGAGCCTACCGAGCCCAAAATCAAGTTCAGCTGTGGAGGCGTGCTGATTAACGAGCGATACGTGGTGACCGCTGCCCACTGCATACCGAAGCCCGGCAAGGGCGAGATGTGAGTACCTACCCACAGCAGGCCGGGCTAAATCCCACAACAGGCTACCTTCAGTTCAGTTCCCTCCAGCCGCGGTCATCGCGGTGTAGCCGTGCGGCTCTGGAGGCCCCTCACGGCGGCCGCCAGAGCCACCACCTCTCCGTCCTCACGGCCAGCCTTCGGGCTTGGAAATATTGATCCGAACCTTCAGAGGTGCCGTCAAATGGGGTCGGGCACCGGAAGAATAAGTGCCGGGCGTGTCGGCCTCCTCCCTACATATGCTGCACCGGCCCGCCGCACAGTCGGTGTCAGGCGCACTGGCGGCATTTGTCGGAAGGGTTCCGTCCAATTCTTAGAAGGTATTGGCGGGAGCCCGGCCAGTGACCCACGCGGAGCTGATGAACATCAACGACTGATGATCGGTCCCCCGCCGCGACCGGTGGCGGCAGTCAGTTCCCCGTCATGGACCGGTACCAGCCCTCCGGCCAAGCGGCGACGGTGCGGTCGTGGGCAGTCTGATGGCCGCGCGTTGGGAGCCAGCGTTCGGGCTCTTGTAGCTTTGGTACGGAGCCCCTCCGCGTTCCAGCACACTACGATGAGGCGGCTTCGGCGCGTACGGTTGCGGAGGTATCTGCGGTTCTTGATCCACCTCCGGTCCAGTCCCCCCGGGGTCCGACGGGCACCCCCTCAGTCGCCGGGGCCGGAGGGGGGGGGGGGCGCGGCCGGTGCGCTGATCATTCAGTGGGCGGGGCTGCGCTGCGCGCGCGGCACCCGAGCCCGCCAGCAGGACCTCTCGTGGACGGAGAGATGGCGGCGGAAGCCGCCGTGAGGTCCCTCTCGGAGAGCCCGCGATGGAGCCCGTTTGGTGTTCCGCGACCGGTTGCAGGCCGGGCGCGGCGGGCCGTGCGGCCTACACCTCCCACCGTGGCGCACAGGCGCACAAGGCGCCTAAAGGCAGGCTCCTCCAGGAGGCCTATCTTTAGCTCGGTCAGAGGGGAGGGCTGTCCGAGGACTGGGGACCGGATCCGGCCCGGGAAAGGTCGAGTGTAGGTGAAGTAGGTACTATTTAGTATTTGGCCTATCCCAGCAAATGGGAGACGCCCTCTCTGAAGTCGCGCAGGTTCCAACTGGAGTGATGTCAGTACCGTCAGAAGCTCATCAAAGAGGAACTTGTGGATCAAAGAGAGTACCATCGATCAAAGAGTGTACCGTCTAAGAGAGCTTCAGTGTTGTAAAAGTTAACCAAAACTGGTGTATATCAGGCAGGCGAAAGAGCAGAAAACACCTCACCACAGTATAAAGGAAATTGTTTTAGCATGACCATTGACCAACGTCCAACATGCTCTGTTCCTCGCCGGCAGTTTGAAAATCCGGCTGGGGGAGCACAACCTCGAGACGGAGGTGGACTGCGCGGTGGTAAGTAGGCAGGAATTCCGCTCAACTGACTGGGATCTCACGTATTTAATAACGTACATACGATAGCTTAACGTCACCAAGCACCGGTACGGAGCGTACGTTCACAGTTAGACTCCACGCCTGCGTTAACCCGTCCCCGCGGCGGTCCCCAGTCGCCGTTTAACAACAAGACGACCGAGTGCAACGACCCGCCGGTGGACGTGGCCCCGGAGCGGATCATCAAGCACCCGCAGTACGACCGGCCGGAGAAGAGCTGGAACGACATAGCGCTGATTCGGCTGCAGACGCCCGTCACCTTCTCCAGTGAGTGCCGCCGCCGGCACAGGCCGTTCAGTCACTACGGGCCGCATGGCTATAACTGCCACTCATGTGTCAGATCGGGAGTGGCATTGGTAGAAACGGCTAAATTTTGTTCACAGTTAACATTTCTATTTGTAAAATATTATTCCTCCTAGTTTACTGCCGTGATATTCGAGTCCTGAGATCAAGTCCGGCTGCTCCCAAAGCTCTTTAATAGGCTATTTTTGCTATATTCTGCCTCTCGTAGCTCCTTAAGTACAATATTAGTGTAAAATTATCTGACCGTCAACAGTAATTATGTCGTCCCGATGGTTATTTCATCACTTGAACGAGATTCCCTCTGGAAATATTTCAGTAACAATGCGGTCAGCCCATTCATTAGTGCCTGCCTGACCACTCGTACCGCTACACATATTACGGCGAAATAACAGTAGCCATCTGCTTACGAATGCACACTTCAGGTAGAACACCGTCTGTCTGAGAAGGCCATGTGTGGGACAAACATGTCACACGAACCGCGCTCCGTTAGGTCACCCTACCGTAGGTATCCCACGTCTCCCCTCGGTCCTCCAGGCCCCGAGGGGTCATGTGTGACCGGGTACTGTGGCGTCACCATAACAGACCGTGACGTCACCATTCCAGGCCGGCGACGCTCCCCATGACGGGTCCTCGATTGTTATTATGGCGGGCCCCGTGCCGGTCCGTTTCAGACTGGGTGCGGCCCATCTGTATGCCGTTCGGCCCGTGGCGGACCAGCGAGCTGCCCAGAGACGACGCCATCGTGGCCGGCTTCGGACTCACCAAGGCCTGTGAGTGACTCCTGTCCCTCCCGACCCTGTGCCCTACCGACTGCCAACCGACCTCGCCTCTGCTAGTGAGCACAAATGAATTTCACACGCTAATGACACAGATCCGCCACGCGCGGCAGCACCACCCACCGGTAACAGCTGGCCCTTCGTGTCACACAGATCAGCACGGACGCGCCCCGTGTGCCGCCGGTAGTGTCACGGACACGCCCCGTGTCCCGCCGGTAGCGTCACCAACCACCTGACCCCCCCCCTCCCCCGTCCGTCCGGCAGACGGCGACACCAGCCCGACCCTGCAGGAGCTCAAGGTGCCCATGGTGAACCTGACCAGCTGCCGGTCCACGTACTCGCGGCTGCGCGCGCGGCTCGGTGCCACGCAGCTGTGCGCCGGCGGCAACGTCGGCCAGGACTCGTGCGAGGGCGACTCGGGCGGGCCGCTCATCATGCACGAGCGCTACGGGCCGCCGTTCCATCTGATCGGGGTGACTTCGTTCGGGGCGACCAACTGCGGCCAGGGCGCCACGCCGGGCGTCTACACCAAGGTGTCCGAGTACCTCGACTGGATCCTGCAGAACATGGCACCCTAGAGGGCGGCGGGCGCCATCGTCAGCTGTCGGCTGAGGTACCCTGAGGTAGGTACCGCCGCGCGCAGCCACCAGCCGCTCGACAGGGTACTGCGGGACGTCGCACCGCTTGGAGGCGCCGCGAGCGCCTTGCACTGTGTGTAAACTGTGTCAAATTATATCTATCTGGATGTGTTGATGTGAGAGGACTTGGAGCACGTCAAAATTACTTTTCCGGTGTATTGCAAGAGTGAAATAAGATATGAAGCTCGAAGACTTCTTGATACTGAGCGGGAACTTCGAGATCGGTCATATATGTAAGACCAGGCGCGGTCTATTTTCAGAGATAAGCGGGCTGTGTAAATTTTAGCTTATATGTGAACAGATGCTGACCAGAGATTTCAAAACTACTCCGCAAAGTCGTCCCATGCCAATCTGGCGATCCAATACATCAGAAAAAGTCAGCATGTGAAGGCAACTGGTAGGTATGAATTCAACCGCATCCAAAATGTAATATAACGGAGTCGTCTATGAAACATTAATGAAAATGATAAATTATTAACAGTGCAATCATATTTAAATAGAATATGTAAGATAATATTTGAGAGCTGCTTCATCAGCCTATACACGTGGCTTAAGTTGACGCCGTCTATAAGGCAGTGCTTCCCATTGAAGAACACGGCAGAAGTGCATGCATATACATAATATAAATGCATGCGTAAATTTAAACAGGATATGTGTGCGTATCTCACCGTCATTTGTGCGGCATGTGTAAAATAAAGCTACGAATAAGTCTGGTTTGTTTGCGAAAATCACGTAATAGCTGATGAGTGATGCTATGCCAATCGATAGTTCTAGCGTCCCACGCATCGTCAATGTCTCGCCTATACATTACGTATACAGATATGAGATATACAATTACCAATAAATATTTTCTCCGTGTGACTAATGAAAAAAAAACTAAAACCAGTTACCTAACTCGGCGAGATCTGCCACTGTTGAGGTTGCGTGCCACGCGCGGGTCATTAATTCCCCCTGTGACGTCATCACGCGCCCCACTGTGCGGCCAGATGACCCTGGTGACCAGATGACCTCCGGTCGCCAGTTGGGCCGGTCACGCACCTCCGTCTGCCAATCACCGGCTCTGATCTCAGCCGGCTCCTGATAATGAGCGTCAGAGTAGCCTCTGAGTCCGCACCGCCGGACCAGCCGCGCTGCTGGCGTGACGGCGGCGCTATAAGAGCGGGGACCGGCGGCCGGGGCGGACACAGGGAGGAGAGAGGCGCTGTGGACAGGGAGCGCGCCGCCGGACAGTCGCCAGTCGGGGAACCATAGGACCGGCGCCGCCCGAACAGCACACTCGTCCGCCGCCGGGCGGAGAAAGTGGACCTGCAGCAGCGCGACGCCATGGCCGTGTGTCGACTCCGGGTGGGCAGATATGCCCTGTCACTATTACTGCTGCTACCGCTGCTGCTGATCAGCTGCTGCGGGGCCAGCCCCTCTCGGTACTCTGCCGGGTACGGGGTACAGCCGCAGTACCGGCCGGCCCCGCCGCCGGGCGCGGACGGCCCGCACGCCGGACTGAGTCGGAGGGGCGGCGGCCACCTAAACGAGCCACACCCGGTTCACGTCAGACCGTCCTACCCGACGTACTCCAGCCGGCGGTATACTGTGCCAAACAGGTGAGCCCTGGTATGTACAGACCGTGAATCCGTTCTGTGCGTGTGTAAATGGCCAAAATGTGCGCTTAAAACTGTTTGGTAATTGTGAAAATTGGTTTGTGTAGTATTCATATATGAAAGGTATTCTTTTAACCCTCGCATGTGTGCGGCGTTTGCCAGCTTCTAATGTGTAGGGGGGGGGGGGGTTGGTTGTTGGTTGGTACCCTTGCCGTTTGGCCCCAAATCGAGCTAGACCTTCGCAGAAAAACGAGCGTGTTGCTCGTGACGAGAGGAAGCCAAGGATACCCAATTTTAAGGTCCTAGGTCATTGGTTGACCTTCCAGGTCAGGTCAATGACCCAAAGTCTGGAAAATCGGGACCTGTTAGAAAGTCGTAAAGTGTCGCTGCTATGGATTTTTTTTCGGGGTGCTGATCACGAATATCGTGCTAGTTTTGATCACAGATGATGTCTAAGCATTTAGACCAGGTCGGGTCAGGTCAGGTCAGGTCATGGGTTGGTGACGGGTAGGTATTCGTAGTACGTGTCAACCGCCTCTGACAGCTACGTAACATGTTACGAAGGCACCAAAACTACTTCGTAACTGTTCAAATGGTTTCTAAATTCGAATTCAACTAAAAAAAAACTAGCCTAGAACATGCAAAAGTCGAAAAAGTAAACCGAGGTCACCAAAGGTCAGTCACCTGACCTGACCTTCAGGTTACCTTGACATCCACCCTTATGCATAGGAGCAACATCAAATCACATGGTTGAACGTTTGAAACCACGAAAAGCTCGCAAACGCGCGGCTAATGCGAGCCGACATACGCCGAATCGCGACTCCGGCCAAACATGACCGCGAGAAATAGGTCACAGATCAAAGGTCACTTGGGTCAGGGTCATATAATTTCCAGGGCAGGTGTAACATTGATCAACTCGAGGATACTGAAAGTTTCGTCGCGATACGCCGCTTTTGCGCCAGTTATTTGCGAAAAACCATGAGAGGGGGTCCATCCGACCCCCCCTACACATGCGAGGGTTAACCCGCGCCCCGTTGGGCTCTGCCGAGCAACGCGCCCCGTTGGGGGGGGGGGGCATTTTGCCCCCCCCCCCCCCAAGATCTCGAGAACCACGCAACCTAGCGACAAGCGGCAAACGGTGTTGGATAGCCCTATCAGGGAACTACCTTGTGACCCAATTTTATTGACCTCAAACTGATGACGTCGCAGGTCAGGTCAAAGGTCCAATTTTCACCGTTTACAGGCATTTCAAGAAATGCGTTGTAAAATCGAGTAAAATGCATTTCATTGAAAATCATCGATGGGGAAATGTTCTTCAAACACATATTTTGCTATTTGAGGTCACTGATACCAGGTCAGGTCACAGAGGTCAGGTCACTGGGGGGTCACAATATGAAAGTGTCGTGTGACACATGTTTTATGGTCCATTTTACATGACAAATGCGATTATGTGGGTCAGGCAGCCTTTGGGGCCAGCTTAGGTCACGTTTTGGTCAAGGTCAGGTCAAGGTCAGGTCAAGGTCAGGTCAAGGTCAGGTCAAGGTCAGGTCAAGGTCAGGTCAAGGTCAGGTCAAATTAGGTCAAATTTCAAAGTTGATATTTTTTCATAAAATGGGTATCGAATCGATGCAGCTCGTCACGGGGAGTTCAATGGTGGTTTTTGTTTTGCCGTTCGTGGTCTAGAATCGCTAAAAATTGAGTTCAAAAATTTGACGTCATCATTTTTGTTTTGTTTTTTCGCCATAACTTAGCCAAAAAACGAGATATCGATCTGAAATTTGGTATGTATATACCTAGACGAGCGCAGGGACTATCACATATATTCCGGTTTTTCGAAATTCGGATTTTTTTATTTTTATTAGTTTTTCTAAAAAACAATTTTTTTGAATTTTGAGGGTCAAAAACCCAAATTTTTGAAAAATCCGAGATGGCAGTTTTGTAGCGCCGCTTTTTGTCTACCAGACCATATAAAGAACTTTGAAATTGCTTGATAACTGTAGATTTGGTGAGCGTTTCAAGACTGCATGTTTTTTGCTCATTTTTGCTCGAACATGACCTCAGTTTGACCTCAATAACTCCTGACCTAAGGTGACCTAAGACTTGAAATTTGGTGTGAAGGTGTCAAATTGATGCCCGGGAAGGTTACTGAAAATTTGGCGGCGCTGCGCGCCGCCGTTTTCTTGCTATTTAGGAAAAACCACAGGGAGGCTAAAATGGCCCCCCCAACGGGGCGAGGGTTAAATAATCTCCATCTCGCTGGTACAGTATTTTAAACACATACCTAATGGAAACTTTAGATACCTGAAGCTGAGGGCATGCTATCAAATGGCTTGAGCCCACCTTTTTCGCTCAACTTGAACTGTAGGTATGAGACGCAGGTACAGCTCTCGCGGGATTAAGCGTCAGGTTTTGCCTTTTCGCATTTCCGGTTATTTCTCAGAAACTAATCGATGCACGATGAAGCCATTTTAGAGGAGCATGACAGACATGCATATTGCATACAAATAAATCGATCACATCTTCAACACTTAATAGCTTAAGACGAAGAAGATACAGCCGAAAATTTACTAAATTTCATGGGGGCAAAATCTACCGCTAAAACCCACGAGACCTGTAGGTACTATTGAGCGCAGAATCCGCGCTCATACCGGGACCGAAGCGGGACAGGTCTGGTGTATCAGAGAGTGTACCGATAGTGCGCTGCGGAACAGTATCCCATCCAGGCGGCTGCTGTCTGGTGAACTTGGGTCAGCCGCCGCACGGAAGGCAGCCGCCCCGGCCTCCCTCCCCCGAGTGGGGGAGGGAGGCCGGGGAAGGGGAGCGATTCATGCAGTCGCAGCCCGCGCGGAGTTAGTGCGGCAGTGTGTACTGTGTATATTGGGATTATTTCTCCAGCAAAGTTTTGGGTTTGCTTGAATTCCACTGATCACGGTGGCTGTTTGCGGGGAGCGGGCCCGGGCGGTGTCAGCAGATAACTGTTCCCCTACACAGGCAGGCCACAGACATGGTGAAACGGTGTATTATATGGCCGACCAGCCGGAGAAAGACCCCTTTCTGTAGGAATGCGATTAAAGAGGCTTCTGTGTTTTAAGGTGTGCCGTTACGTAGTTTCGGATCGTCCTTAAATTCTTCGCCCTCTTTGCTCTCACCGCAACGTTTTATAGAAAATCTCCTGATGTTTTTGGCCTTGCTCCTTGCTCTTAACCTTGCTCTTCCAGACCATGAGCACACTTTTTATTAACTATAAATGGAAGTTTGCCATGTTTCTCAAAAATGCTCGTCTCACCTTAATAAAAATTATGTTCCTATCAAATAAGTACCGGAAGCACAAATCTCACCGGAAGTCTGAGCCGAACTATAAGCGAAAATGCCACAACTTCCCTATGGCCACCGCCATTCTGTCTGAACTAGACTTTTTGTTTCTCCGAACTATATGATAACATAACGTCAATGTGACATAACAATTCACATTTATTGGGCATGCGTCACGAATGCGTGCCCCTCGGTATTACAGTTATGAAAGTTGCCCGAATCGGCGCTTAAGAAATTTGCAATTTAAAAATTTAACCCTCGCCCGTGGACGGCATTTCGCCATCCTTTCCAGTGGAGGGGGGGGGGGGGTACGACCCTTTCTGCCGTTTCGAAACGCGTCGTGGTAGAGCTTAGCGGAAAAACAGCGTATTGCTCTCGACGAGAGCTCGCGATTGCGCATATTACTTTTGACCATAGGTCAATATTTGACCTAAGTTTGGCAGGTTAAAGATCAAAGTTCGGGAAAATCGGCATTTTTAACTTTGCGCGCCTGTAGCGTCGCCGCTATGGCAGATATCGTCATGGAATTTTCACCATCGTATTTCTGGATGAATTTGGTGCATTTTGGTGTATAGTTTGTCACATTTTACGCGATAACTTCCGGGGCAGAGCGCCCGGAAGCCGGCGGGGTCGCGTTCGCGCCCCGGGTGGTCGAAAATGCCGTCTGACATTTAGGGTCGGAAATGTTATCTAACCTGTCGGTGACTTCTCCTTGACCCTGAGACGCTCAATAAACCAAGTGCCCGAGCTTTATTTGGCCATCAGATTCGAATTCAGGGCCAAAAATTACCGCCGGAAAGTC